CTGTGCAGTATTTGCTTAATAGCATTATTAAGAAATACGGGGAAGGTGTATAAATAGCTTCAAGCATGTGTGTCAAGTGTAAGATAATTCGATTGTCCGTTACTGCAAACATTTCACGGAAGCTGACCTAAATTGGTGTGAAGGTTATAAGTATACAGAGTCAACTGGTTCTTTGAAAAACTACGGCTCATCACGATATACAATCTGTTTCAACGTCACTAAAAATTGTAAGTAATATTCTATTTCTGCTTTAGTTGTAAAAAAGTAATGAAAAAATACATGCAGAGCAGAAAGAAACGGGGAAAGGAACCGTGTGGCTTGTGATCAAAATTAATGAGGCGAGTTTACTAGGTGTATACAGCATGTTTTTCTTTCGGTCACATAGCAGTTCAAAGTAAACGGTCAGCTTCTCCACATAAAATTGGCAACAATTATTTGTATTTTTCACTCTTTCACAAAAATTACATTATATGAAACAGTATAAAATAAAGAAAGTAAATCAACAAGGTATTGCCATTTTGCATAAGAAATCATTGAGTACATATTTAACTCTGGTAGTGTCTAATTTGCCAATTAAAAGACTTCAAAGATTATTTTCGATTAAGTTGCTCTTATTGTATTTTGTATTTGCATTTATTAACATTCATTTCCTTCCCAACGGTACAATATGAAACACAATGTATATATAAATTATTGTGTAGCAATGGTATCAAAATGCAGTATACAGTAAATAATTCAGATAACAGAAGGAGGCGAAAACCCGAATAGCGTAGCTTGATTGGATTTGAATTATGGCATCTATTAGCTTCTTACTTGCAAATTCTGATTCGCTCGTCGCAAAAGCAACACCGAGTTTCTTTAATTTCATATGTCATTAGTAACATTTGTTTTTATGCAAATTGGATGTTGTATCCTTTCTGCTACCACTCTCTTAGAGTTTTAGTTTCTTAAACAGTTTGAGTGAAATTAAGCCCCATAATCTTTTTTGGTAATTCAGGATAAAATCTGATGGATCGTGACGAGCACTACATTTTTTTTAGCCGATAGTATCAAAATCATGAATTGATTACTTATCATGGATTTATGAAACGCGTTGCCGCTTCACGACATCTTCATAGGTCGCGGACAAAGATATTTAATATGACTGTCATGGAGAACGAGTTTAACCGTCTCTAAACGGGGTAGTTGGGTAATAAACTAGTTAGAACAAAGTGTGAACTAGTAAGAATGGTTTGGACGTATTGAGAACGAAGTAAAAAAAACTAGTTAATAACGGATTTAAACTGACTACGGACTCTTGGACTGCCTGGAAATGGCAAATTTACCCGATCTAAACTTGATATGAACTGACTTTGGACGGGGTACAGACGAGATGGACGTATTGTGGACTGTTTATAATCTATAATGAACGAACTAGGATCGTATTATAGACAATATTTACACATTCTACCCCGACGACAATCCGTGTTACGATTTTCTAGAACCGTTCCAGAACGTAGTGAGAAATAGTTTGGTGTGTTGGGAGCTTTACGATGCTGTTAGCACCTGAATACCAAACTTTAGAATATGATCAGTATAGCGCTCTTTCACCCAAAAATTGGTATGTGAGTTGTATGTTCAGATTTCTGTGTGTCCCAAAATGCCATAGCACAGAGTGTTACAGTGTGAAAATAACCTTCAGCGGTCAAGTGGTTAAATCAGATTAGTCAGCGATTCATTTATCTATGAAGTAGCTTATTTTCATAGAATAGATATATCGACTGCGGTGAGAGGCCTGGTTCTTTGATAGGGGACGTTGCCTGCCCCCCCCCCCCACTCAGTGTTATTTAGGGTACGCATATGCTTGTTCCCTCCTTTTGAAAGCACCCCCTATCTGAGGACTCCCAACATTTCCGAACCCCCCTTTCGCGGGCTTTTTGCGGGCTTTTCCTGCCTTGGAGATCCCCCTTAATTCGGAAAAATGCTCAATGTACCCCCCTTAATTCGGAATAATTTTTCAGGAGTCCAAAGAGATGAAAAGAAAAAAAACACACCCCCTTTTTAAAGAAATCTCCGGGTGAAAAGTCAAATACACCCCTTTTTTAAACAATTCTCGGGCCGGACTTTGTCGCACGAAAAGTACCCCTTTACCGGACATTTTGGTAACACGCATGCGGTCATTTCGACCCCGGAGTGGGGGGGGGGGGGGAACGTTGCAACCTCCCATGACCCGGAGGCGTTATTTTTTTATGCGGCACAGATTGGGGCTTTTTTTAAAAAGGGGTCTTGATTTACAGACTAATACTGGTCGTGTGCGTACTAGACAGTATAAGTAGCAGAGGTCTGTTTTTAATAGTGTTACATGTAATCCACTACCGCATGGAAAATCATTACATCAACAATTTAAATCAAATTGGAAATCTGAAGAGGAGGCAGCACGTCAATAAGGAGAACATCACAATAATTAGTCAATAAAACTTAACTAACTTAAACGAAGAGGAATGTTATCTAAACACGTAGTTCGCGATGGATATACAAACTTCTTCGCAGCGCTAATGCGCTAGCGAACATGACTAGTCTCACGTACGTGCAGACACTATTCAGAAGGGAAAGAACGTACTTCCCATAGGTTTAACACGCGCCATGCCCCAATCTGTGCCGCATAAAAAAATAACGCGACCCGGAGTCGCACTTGGGTGAGCGACGCGCCGAGGGTCCCGAGAGCAAACAGCCAGGCCTCGAATATCAAAGCAGTCGATATGTCTTTTATGTACCGAATAGACACACAAATCTACCAAGAATTCTTACCTTATCCTCTTCTTGAGTAAAGATTGGTTAAAACATCACGGAAAATCTGAGGCACTGTCTGTTAATCTTCGCTGGAAAGATGACTGAATGCTACGATCATTTGGGAATCGCAGACAAAAAGCACTGTATGGTATCCGCGTTCGCACAAACAAAGTTGTAACACGTTAACCAATGTGGATCGCAACAAAATTTTACTATTTTCCAGGTACCCGGAATCTTGCGGGAATCTCACTCATGAATTTGTAACCGTTACTGGCATTGCTCGTTTCCTTAAGGGAATGGCTAAAATCACGACTCCACTTTCGACCAATCAGATGGCTAGATTTCTAAAGAGAGGTATATAATGGAATAAAGTGGAATAGTGGCATGTAAAGACTTGTCCAGAATGCAAAATGTGTGATCGTGGAAATATCCTAATTGTATATGGAACAACGCAGGCAAAGTTTTTCTGAGACCTTGAATAGGCTAAGTGATAGAAATAATGTAATTTCGGATCCTGTGCATAAAGCTTACCATTGATGATAACTTTACCATTAATGGTAACTTCCATGGACACTTTGATGTGCATGATAAGCTGTTGAGTGATGTTGCCATGGTGGTTATTTTTTATGGCAAATTTACCATCAATGGTAAATTGCAAGTTATGCATGGGACACACATACATGTTTATACATGTACAACAGCTACTACTGCAATATTAATTCACCAAGAGTTGTCGATGCCAATTGGAATTGCAAACACATCTTTATGAGCGTTTCTTTTTGCTGAGAAAAGATTATGTAACTAATGCATCGGTGTTCTAAATGTCATTGCTTCCCGCCCAGGGAAGAGGAGACAAAGAGACAGGTATATATCGTACATAAATGAGAGAGTGAAGAGGAACGGAGGCAGGCAGAGAGATAGAGTGACAGGAGAGAGAGAGAGAGAGAGAGAGAGAGAGAGAGAGAGAGAGAGAGGAAATGGATTAATCTTTGATAACAAATGTTTGAAACATCAACAAAATACAGTCAAAGGCTGGTATTAACAATGTTGCTTTTCTTCATTATGACACAAAAGTCTTTATTACTATGTAGTAATCATGCAGAAATAAACGAACAAATCTTATGTACAAGATTGTATATATTCTCATCAAAAAGTACTTTTAAGGACAAATATTTCATATTTACATTTGCATCTTGACCTACAATGAAAGAAAGTCAAAGCACTCCCTCTTCCAATGAACAGAGTTCGCTACAAAAAAAATATTTAACTTGGCAGTCATCCATCGCCGTCACATATTTAAGCTTACAATATCAAAATTAGCTACAATAATCTTTCCAACACTTTATATGTTAAGGAAAAGAAAATCATTGCCCTTTGAATTAATCTTGACGTCATCAACTTAAAAATAAATAAATCACAATTCAATGAGTCATTTAAATAGATTGAGTATCAACCAAAGCTATATATTTACACATAGTTTTCCCAACTAGATACCAGGGCCCGTCATATAAAGGACTCAAATCAATCGCAAGTTTGGAGTCTCCTATCTCTTATGTACATAGTTGCGATTGATATCAGTCGCAAATAAGTTACGGCTCTCTACAAAACGGGGCCCACAAGGACACATTACAGCAACTGTTGCTTTGTTGGGCAAACACATATTAAAGATATGGACCGGTAGTGGTAAAATTGCGGTTCAAGGGTTTAGGGTGCAAAATATTGCCTTCAGAGGTTTCGATGGTAATACTTCAACCTGATTTCGCAAAAAAGGCAGAAATATATGCCCAAATGTTTAGTGTTGAAGTGCATTCGCGATATCTATCTAGGCCGGATCGATATGATAATTTACCAAATATATTTATTAATAGGCGGCTTCCCGGCAAAATTTGTATCATCAAGTATTAGTCAAAACATATTCTTACACATGAATGGTAATAAGAGCTTCCATATCATTGTTTTGAGAGGGGGCGTTTCCAAAACTGGTCTATACATTTAAACAAAGGTATATGCACCAGCAGAAGTTTAGTGTGAGTCCAACCAATCGGGGGAGGGGGGGGGGGGGGTGTTAACTTGGGGTGGAGGGGGGAGGGGGGGTTGAAGAAAATGAGATGCAAGTGAACAAGGTCCTTTTTACTAACGGGAAAGGTGTCGTATCAATTCTTTTCGTTTTGCATTTTCAGGCTCCTGTTATTTCTCTCTTTTCTCTCATTCCCATTCATTTTAAAAAACAATTCTTTTGGCCATTTGATTGTGGGAGGGGGCGTGTCCCATTTTCATCCATTTACCCGACAGCTTCATTTAGAGAGATACAAAATATATCAATAAAACACTTGTCATAATCTTAAATGCATAATGAGCAAAATTATTCGTTATGTACATAAAATACTAAGAGCAAATCTTCAAAATATGTACAAAAAGCATTCATTGCGCAACGTTATACTTCAAAACATATTCTTTCTTGAACTGTACACAAAAAATAAAGTCTTCGGTGATATAGCACTATTCGAAGTAACTCGTCCCTATTGTATACGCAACGAGATCGACAATAACATAGCATTCAACCATGCAATCAAATTGGTCTATAGTGCATTACTATACGTTTACTAGATTACTAAAAAGACAAATAAATATAGAGGACGGAGTACATAAACTGCATCTGAATTCTAACATGTATGTCAACAAATATATGACTAAAAACGATTATACGTAATTTCTATTGGCATCAGAAGAGGAGTATTAGTAGTATAAAATTAGTATTAGTCGTATAGTAGTATAGTAGTAGTAGTAGTAGTAGTAGTAGTAGTAGTAGTAATATAGTAGTAGCACACATCGTTGTTGTTGTAGTAGTATAACTTTCGGTTTAGTAGTAAATAATTGTAATAATAGTACAGCGTAGTACAAAAAGTGGTTAGAAGAAGTAGTAGCCATCGTCGTCCTCATTATTGTCGTAGCATAAAAAAGTAGGAGTATAAGACAATAGTAGTGATAGTATACTGGTAATGATATTATAGGCTATATTAGACAAAAGGAGAATTTAATATAATAGTACTAATAATGATATAGCGATAGTAGGAGTAGTACTAGAAGCACCTATAGTAGTAATAGTAATATAATTAGCAGTAGTGGTAGAATTAGTACTAGTAGTAGTAGTAATAGTAGTAGTATTGTCAGCAGCATCAGCAGTACTAGTCATCGTCGCGTCCGCCGTCGTAGAAGTAGAAGAAGCAAGTAATTTGTCGTCGCAGTAGTAAAAGTTACATAAGTTGCAGTAGCAGCAGTAATTGTAGAAATATATGAGTAGTAGTAGTGGTGGTAGTGGTGGTAGTAAAAGTAGTAGTAGTAGTAGTAGTAGAAGTAGAAGTGTCGTGGTCGAGTGGACATGTCACCGGACTGTGGATCACAAGGTCTGCGGTTCAAGTCCCGCCGCGGCACTAATGTCCTTTGACAAGACATTGATCTACATAGTGCCACACTTAACCCAGGGTAATGCCTTCCGAAGCTCTTTGGAAGCGCATAGAGACTAAGTATTATGCGCTATAAAAACGGACTATTATTCTTAGAAGAAGTAACATCAGTAATATAGTGTCAGTTATATTTAGAAGTAGCTGCAGAAGCCTTGATTGCGAAGTAGGCCCCAGGAATATAGTAAAAGTCAACACACAACATAGTATGTAGATAAACATGTTAAACCTTCCTGTAAAACATCGTATTCTACTATCAAATCCTGCAAAAATATCCTAACTTAATTTCTTACAAATTTCTGTTCATCTTGTACTGTTTAAAATTATAAACACGACTCACTCAATTTCCATTATCATAAGCAAGAGAATTACAGTAATAAATGTTTATTAAACACATGACCTTAGCCAAAAGGCCGAAAAAGATAAAATGTCTGAGTACAGTTTAGTAATAATATAATGTACTTCAAGAAAACCGTGTTTTCTCGGCAGCAAACATGGTATTTACTCCATGCCCAGGCCAATAGCCCGCTCCTTGATTTTGCAAATAGATTTGAAATGTATATTTTCTCATTGAAAAGACATTTCTGACAATCTGTATGCTTCTGAAAAATCAAATTAAATCGTTTAGGAAAAAAACTGAACTCGAAGGGTCGATAGAATCAATGCTCTTTCGTATTAAAATAAAGAATGAAATAGACTTTACAACTTAGTTATGTGCTTCCTGACAAAATATTTAGTGCTTCTATCTTTGTCTTCTAATTAACACAATTATTGGAAGTTGCCTACGATCGATTATGAAATAAGTTTCAAAAATGAATTCTAAATATAAATCTACGATATTTCAAATTTCGATTTACAAATTACAATGTAATCATGATATAATTATGTTGCGACAAAAAGGAGATATAATGAATATAAATCATCAATATATAACGATAGTCTAAACTGCATTCTTAAAATGGAAAACAAGACAATGATTATAGAAGTCAGTCAATAGCTCGGTACATTCAATATTCTTGCAGAAATCCTCTTTATTTGCTCTTCCATACGCTTCAAAACGGAGTCCATCCGTAAAAGATGGGGTCTACTTGTAAAAGAAGGAAAGAAAAGTCTTCTATGCAAAGCATTAGTCCAGAGTTCTTCAAAACCGGATTACTTGAAAACCGTTGAACCGTTAGGTTTCAATCAGCGGTTCTACGACGTCGCTGGATTCGATCCGGTTCTGACTGTTGCTATGTACCACTACAACCTCTGGTTCTTCGCGGCAGCTCGTATCCTCCACCCTCACCGAAGGCCGTTTGGGGTGGGAAGGGTGGCCCGACGAGTCGGGAGTGAGCCACGGCTGTACCTCGCTTGGTCGATGGTGAACATGTGATCCCTTTGATAGAAAAATAGAAAGAAAGGGCAATGGGTAGATAAAGAAATGATATTTTGAGAAGAAAAATAAAGAAGAAAGAAAAGATGGGAGGATTACAAGCAATAATTACTGAGGGTGGGGGGGGGGGGGGGGGGAGAGGATGAAGGATCGTGGATTGTAGACATTAAAAACCACGGACACACAACGAATAATATTATATGATTGTTAACACAGCAACAACAACAACAACAACAACAACAACAACAACAACAACAACAACAACAACAACGAGTTAGAGACTGTTTATACACAGCAAAAGCAACACAAAAAAGATGACTAGCATTTTGTTATTGGGCGTAACTATCAATGCCCTAATGGATACATATATATATATATATACCTGTTTGTGCATTATAAATATAGCAGAAATATATAATTAATTATTAATATGCATGGCGAATGCATTTATAAAAAAATAAAAACTATGTCTGGCCTTTATAATTGTACAGTGGCGTTCTGTACGTATGCATAATAACATAATAAATAATGATAGACTACAACAAATATTTCAAGAAAGAAGACACAAATGATGAAGCGCTCTATGGACTCACCAACCAACAAATAAAAGTTTGTGCAGTTCAGCAGATTTTTGATGACTCCTAGCGCTGGGACGATCACCATGCACGAAAATGCAAAACACACATGTGAATAGTGCAGATGGATGCAGCGAAAAATGGTGGTGGTGATGGTAGTGTTGGGGTGAAAGTGAAAGATGAAGTGGATAATGATACATGAGAGATGTAATAATTATCAAACGTTTTTTTTATAGCCCATAACACATAATAATTATAGGCAATTTGCAAGTCTATATGCGCTTTACAGAACGGAATACAGAAGGAGTGGAAATGGTGCACTGGGCTTGTGATGGGTGTATCGACCGAATCTAGATACTTTGTACCAACCGTCTGAGGACGAGTTAGTCTAGTATTTGGAGTTGAAGAACGAAGCTCAATAATGAAGATCAGCCCTTGAAATCTAACCACTTTGTGTTGTGTAATCTGTTGTTGTGGAACAAAGGACCCAGGGACAACGGGTAGAGGAAACCTCACGTAACAAATGGGGGCTCGGCCAGGTATATAAAGTGAAAAGTATGATTTTCAGGTGATTTTTGTGATCATATTAGCGCTGGCATGTTGCATTACATTGCGTGCGACGAGTTTCATACACGTTACTTGTAAGCGGACTGTTCGGTGTGTACTGTGTGTGTGTGTTGTCGATGTCGGTTCGTTAAGATGATATCGTCGGGCACCGCTGGGGTAGCCGTTTCAGGTTCGAGCATTCGTGGTGTGTGTGGTGAGAAAAACATTGTTGTCTTCTCATGTTTCTGCATGGATTTGCAGGGTTTGACTGAGGGTTATAACAGTCAGGTTGTCTAGATTTCTCGGATATTGTAGAATCTAGGTGTTGTAAGGTTGGCTGGGGAGTATAACAGCCAGGCTCTAGTTCTTTCTAGGTTATTTAGGAGACTAGGTTTTTTGCATGATGGCTAGCGAGTTCTCATTGGGAGAGTTTGTTAGGGATCCGTCTGCGGAGCGATTAAGCTCGTTGACTAAAGTTGAATTATTAGATGTAGCAGCTCATTATGAGGTTGTTGGCATTAAGCGGTACATGCTGAAGTCGGACATTTTGAACAAAATTGTCGAATTTTTGGTTGCTGAAGAGGTTTTGTCTTCAGAGGCGGCGGACGGTATCAGTGTGACTCCTCCAGGGTCTAGGTCACGGTCTCCTGAATTAAATTCTCAGGCTAGGTCTTCAGTTTCTGATGAAGTGAGGATAAAGGAATTGGAATTAGAGAGGGCGAGAGTAGAGTTGGAGAGGGAGAAACTTGTTGCCGTAAACAGAAAAGAAAGCAGAAATGCTGATAGGCATTTTGACGTTGCGAAGCATGTCAGAATGGTCCCTCCATTCGAAGAGGAAGGGGTGGAAAAGTACTTTCCACACTTTGAGAAATTAGCTCAAAGCATGGGGTGGCCTAGGGAAATGTGGGCTCACCTGATTCAGAGTAAGTTTAGCGGTAAGGCTAGGGATGCCTACTTAGCAATGTCGATGGCCGACGTGTCGGATTACAATAAAGTAAAATCGAGCGTGCTAAAAGCTTACGAACTTGTACCCGAAGCGTACAGGCAGCGATTTCGCAAAGCGCGAAAGGAAGAATCGCAAACTCATATGGAGTTTTCAAAACAAAAAGAGCAATTGTTTGACAGATGGAGCTCATCTCTCCATGTAGATCATGATTATGATAAATTGCGTGAAATTCTTCTACTTGAGGAATTCAAGCGCAGCGTGCGACTGGATGTTCGTATACATCTAGAAGAGCAGCGCGTCGATTCGCTGGATGAAGCAGCAAGAATCGCGGATGATTACGTGCTCACGCACAAAATCTCTAACAAAATGAGCGTAGAACCTAAGAAAAATGGTAACTGGAGCAAAAGCCAGAAAACTAGTTCATCACAAGAAAAGGATGAAATAAAACCGCAGTCCCAGCAAGGACAGGTAACAGAGGAAAGAATGTGCTATGCTTGCAAACAGTATGGGCACATAAAGTCAAAGTGTCCTTCACTTCAGGCTAAGAAACAGGAATCTAGTGCACATCCTAATGCATTCGTACAAACTGTGTCAAACTCACAAAGTGGAATTATTCCAGCGAACATGGAAAAAATTCAGAAAGAGTATGAACCGTTTGTGTCTGTAGGATATGTATCTGTAGCAGAGAGCGATGTAGCAAGAAAAGTGAAAGTCTTGCGGGATACTGGTGCTTCTCAGTCCTTGATTTTGGAAAGTGCGTTGCCCTTTTGTGATAGTTCTTCTGTTGGTGCTAGTGTTTTGCTCAAAGGCATTGGAGATGGCTTTGTGGAAGCACCCCTTCATGTGGTAGACTTGAAGTCAGACCTTGTTTCTGGTATGGTGAAGATGGCAGTTAGACCATCACTTCCTGTGGAAGAGGTATCTATCATATTAGGTAATGATCTCGCTGGTGACAGAGTCGTATCATGTCCAGTAGTAAGTTCTAGTCCTTGTGAAAGTTCTGAGACAGATGAGTTGGTTGCAGAATTTCCTGTTGTGTTCCCAGCATGTGCTGTAACTCGTTCAATGGCAACGAAAGTTGAGTCGGAGAAGAAGTCTAATGACGTAGATGTTGACTTGGGAGATTCTTTCTTTTGTCGTTTGGTTGAAGATGAGTCTGATTCCAATGTGGATGAGAGTGCGAGAAAGGATCGTAGTGTAGGAAATAGTGAAACATCTGAACCACTATCTTTGAAAAAGAGTAAGTTGCTAAAGGAGCAACAGACAGATCCTCAGTTGATTTCTTTGAATGAGAGAGCTGTTTCTGAGGAGGAGGCATTGACTGTGCCTGTTTGTTATTACAAGAAAGCAGGTGTGCTAATGAGAAAGTGGAGGCCAGCAGATGTCCCTGCAGATGAGGTGTGGAAAGAAGTCCACCAAATTGTAGTCCCTTCTACATACAGGCAGGACATAATAAGCCTTGCTCATGAAGCTCCACTTGCAGGTCACTTAGGGGTTCACAAAACCCAGGAGAAAATTCTTTCTCATTTCTTTTGGCCCGGCGTGCAAAAAGATGTTGCAAATTTTTGCAGAAGTTGCCATGCATGTCAAGTTGTAGGTAAACCGAATCAGAAAATACCGGCAGCACCATTGAAGCCAATACCGGCGTTCGATGAGCCATTTTCTAGGATCATAGTAGATTGTGTAGGTCCTCTGCCAAAGACTAAGGCAGGTAATGAATACTTATTGACGATAATGTGCGCTGCGACGAGATATACCGAAGCGATACCACTGCGGCGCATTACAGCGAATAATGTGACAAAGGCGTTAGTGAAATTTTTCACTACTGTAGGGCTACCAAAAACTGTACAATCTGATCAAGGGTCAAATTTCATGTCTAGGGTGTTCAATCAGGTGTTGAAGGAACTGGGCATAAAACATGTAGTTTCGAGTGCATACCACCCAGAGTCCCAGGGAGCACTGGAGAGATTCCACCAGACTTTGAAGAATATGTTGAAAACTTATTGTATGGAGTCAGAGAAACAATGGGATGAGGGAGTTCCCTTGTTATTGTTTGCTGTGCGGGATGCTGTACAAGAGTCGCTTGGTTTCAGTTCTTTTGAGTTGGTATACGGTCACTCAGTACGTGGACCATTGAAGTTGCTAAAAGAGAGACTGTTGTGTGATGATTCACAAACAAATGTGTTGGAGTATGTGAGTACTTTCCGTGAGAGAATGCATAAGGCGTGGGAGGTTGCCAGACAGAATTTGTCAGATTCTCAGGAGAAGATGAAGTCATGGTATGACAGGAAATCCAAAGAGAGGAATTTCGAGGTAGGAGATGAAGTCTTGGTCTTACTGCCGATAGTTGGTCATTCTCTGCAGGCTAGATTTTCTGGGCCGTACACTATTGCTAAGAGAGTTGGTGATGTCGACTACGTTGTCAATACTCCAGATAGGCAGAAGAAGAGACGTGTGTGTCATGTGAATATGCTTAAGCCATATATCCGAAGAGATGACGAGAGTAAAGCACAACCAGTGTTGAGTGCTGTTGAATGTGACTCAAAGTGTGAAGTTGAGAAAGAAGTGTGCAAGATTGAGAGAGAGAACCCATGTGTGAAATTGAAAAATTCAGAGGTTCTAGCACACATCAATAACAAACGAACACACTTATCTGTGAAGGAGAGGAGCGACGTGAAAGAGCTGTTGAGTGCATATCCACAGTTATTTGCTGATGTTCCCTCTCGAACTGATGTTGTTAAGCATGATGTAGGTGTGGGAGATATGACCCCAATCAAACAGGCACCATATCGTGCAAACCCAACAAAACTGAAAAATCTTGAAAAGGAAATCGACTGCGAGAGTGCTTTCAACCAGGCGAAAGCCCTCTTATCTACCAATCCGGTACTGATGGCTCTGGATTTCAACCAGCCGTTCAGCATGATGGTGGACGCGAGCGATGTGGGTGCTGGTGCAGTTCTTACTCAAGCAGACGCTGAAGGTATCGACACACCCATATCATTCTTCTCAAAGAAACTGTGGAAAAAGAAACATTGACTTTGATACTTGCACTTGAACGTTTCGACGTGTATGTCAGTGGATCTCAACATCCAGTGAGGGTATTAACTGATCATAATCCCCTGACATTCCTCAACAGAATGAAAAACAAGAACCAAAGACTGACGCGATGGAGTTTGCTGCTCCAAGAATACAACTTGGACATTCTACATGTGCCAGGAAAGGACAATGTTATTGCGGACGCTTTATCTCGTGTGTGATATTTGGACCGAAGTGAGCAAGTAATTGATATATTCACATGGAAAATTAAACAACCCTTGTGTGAACCATATTTGATGAACAGTTGCACACTTACAGAGAAGCATCATTCTTGAACAGTTGAACATTGGTGAATTCACTGGAATTCTATGTGAGAAAGGAAACCAGAACTTTTAACTTTGATGGTTTCTTTAACAATCACAAAGCATTGTGAACATAGACTGATTGGACTCATTGAAACTGTTTATTGGACTCAAAGAAAAATGTGTTTTTCTTATGTTTGCTTTCCAGATGTCTGTAAACCAGTGTTATATGTATGTTATATGCTTATCTTATTCGTTGACGAATTTGAACATGCATGATAATATTATTGTGTTAAAACCGTTTTGGTACAAACACAAGGAACTAGAAAGACTAGTACGTTATCATTTTGTCTGTGCATGTATATATATATATGAAAACAGAAACAGTTAATTGATTTATATGTTTTATCCAAGGCAGGATAGATATTGAAAGAAAGAATTTTAGAACAAAAAGGATTTTGGTGTTTTACCATATCTTTGGTTATGGATATAAAGTAATCAAAAATATTTTTGAAGATATTCAATACGCAACCAACACAGATGATATGGTTTTGCACTACAACGCAAAACTTCAGATTAATAGTAACATGTTTCTACAACTGACGTGAAGGCTATATTATATTATCTTTCAGACAGGTTTAATGTTGCTGAAGTTTGCTTATTATTTTTATGCAAAGAAATATGTTTAGATTCAAAGTTGCAAAGAAGCATGAAGACATATTGATATTGATAGGTCATTTAAGGTGAACTTCTCTGCGATTTGAATTGTATTTGTTTTATGTTTAGTACAAATGACTTCTGATATATGCAAAAGTCAGTGATGAAAATGATATAGCAGGATGATAAAAGAATGGTTAATGTTTTTACTTATAGCTGTTCATACTCAATTTTATTGTATGAACAAAAACCACTAGACAACACTGTGATACCATTTGCATGCTGGTACTGTATAGTTTTACAAGCTGACTTGTTTATCAGATTTCTAAATCTACAAAGACCTCATACTTATAAATACTTTCAGGTTTTTGTATTCTTACAGCAGTTGCTGAAAACAACATTGAAAAATAAATGTTTTTATAGCACTTCTCCTACTGGTATAAGTGCTAATTTATGAGGGGGAGTGTGATGGGTGTATCGACCGAATCTAGATACTTTGTACCAACCGTCTGAGGACGAGTTAGTCTAGTATTTGGAGTTGAAGAACGAAGCTCAATAATGAAGATCAGCCCTTGAAATCTAACCACTTTGTGTTGTGTAATCTGTTGTTGTGGAACAAAGGACCCAGGGACAACGGGTAGAGGAAACCTCACGTAACAGGGCTCATAATTGTGAGATCTATAAAGTGCTAAATATATATGTTTTCAAATCTTTCTATATCTCTAAGGTTCAATTCAATGAAATACGATGGAGCAAGCTGATGGAAACATTGATAAGTTAATAAAAGTACTTTAAACTTGATACGGGACTGGATAGGTAGCCATGTTATTTAAAAAAAAAATAAGAATGGGGATAGTGATTCATATCATTTTGTTCGTATTACGAGTCGCGCTGCGTTTGAAATAAAATATTTCGAACTGATTTCATGTTTCTTTGAGAGCCAGAAGGACATTAATTCCGATACTTTTAGATGCGATCTTAACACCCTTCTCCCTCTCAGCATACGACATTATCATGCTAAATATTAAGTTGAATACCATGCTCATGCAAACTATACAATCATTTAGACATCTTAATTATGTCGTGTGGTATGTATAAAGTTCATGGAATGCTACTCTGATGAATGATGAAATTAAGATAAACGGTTTGTTAACTACCACCAAAGTGCGTCATGCCTGATTATGTGATATTAAGGTGAAGTTAATCTTTAGGGGTCCTTTCCAAACTCTAAAGTCTAACAGAAACATGCAAAACAAAACAGCAGATCAAGAATAAAAATAATTTCTTCTCCTCGTTTCATTCTCTGGTGGGAATCGTGCATTTGAAATATTTTTCTTTTCTATATACCTTTGTTGAGATCAGCCGACCATTGACCGAGCCCGCTCGTGGTTTGCCGTTGTGGGATATGACCGAGAGTTTGGTAGCAGAGATCTTCGTACCGGTGATCGAATCATCGTATGATCCCGACTGATACGTTTTGCCTTGCTTTCGACGACCGCACAGACGTCGGATTGGTCGTAGGAACTAGATGTTGTAAACCAATGCAAACAAAAGGCAAAAGGATTAATATCTAACAAAGGCGTTTTCAAGGTTGTCAATGGGGGAAGGGGGGGGGGGGGGTGCAAACTGCGAAAGATCCCTCACATGTCTGTAGCATTCCGTGATGTAACACAAAGCTACATATTGACAGGGCACCGGTCTTGCTCGTTTAAGGTCTTTAATAAAGGGATTGTTGGGGGAGTCGCACGGTCAAATCGTCACAATCCATTTCCCTATTTTAATTCTCATTGAAATCTCTCTCCCCCCCTCTCTCTCTCTTTCTCTCTCTCTCTTTCTCTCTCTCTCTCTCTCTCTCTCTGTTCCGACATTTAATGGGAAAAGTCAGTAGAGTTTGGATTGATAAGGCTTACAAAATGATGCAATTATAATTTTAAAACTCTTAAAAAAAAAAAGTTCTAGATCGATTCGAAGAGTACCTAATATGCATAGAATGTGTAATACGTAGAAATCTGTCTAATTTTCTGTTCTTGCAGAAATGTTGATATTAATACCGATTGGATTAATCGCAAAATGAAACAACTTTGTAAAATGGAAAAGAAATGATTAGGAATAGAAATGATAAAGTAAGGCAAGTAGTTTAATTTTTAAAATAGTAAAAACCATTTAGAATTGAATATTGCATAATGGCCATTCTTGAAATGTGTAACTATCCTAAATGACTAGTATTGAAAAGTAAATTATTATTTTGAAAGAATGGTATACCCTTTGTCTGAAGAACTGCGTAGTGACTGTGTATAAGATTGGGTTGAGAGCGGAGTTGACTGGTAACACGAAGATGGCAAACCATGCATGCACTGACTGCGGTATGGCGATACCTAAACAATAACGTTCAAAAATAGTTAAGATTGAGCATACAGCTATTGAGGTCATCACCAAGATGATTCACATTTTATAAACATATTTATGACCATTGTTAATATTTTCAAAAACTCTGATCATCGTTATAGATATTATACCTTCAAGGTTCCTCCTCCTCATCCCCTTTGTTATTGATCGTCATTGTTATCATTGCTATCATCATCCCAATCGCTTTTTACTAAATTCATCATTATCATTCTCACTATAATGACATATCTTTTAAAGTCCTTAAAACGTTATCAGGGTTATAGCCACAATTCGTTGCTTCCATCATCATCATCATCGTCATCGTCGTCGTCATTTTCATCTTCATAATCGTCATTATCATCCTCATCATCGAAATTATCATTGCCATCACCATCAGATTCATCTCTACCATCATCATCACCATTGCCATCATCACCTCCACCATCCTCATTACTATCACCATGATAACCATCTCCATCATCATCACCACCACCTACAGCACCCTCATCACAACCACCACCACCACCACCCCTACCATTATCACCTACACCATCATCTCCCCCTCGTCTTACCCGAATAAGATGCTATCTTGACCAGTATGATAGGCATCCAGCAGATGAAGTCAGTAGCGACGATGATCGTGAAACGCTTCAATAAATTCCAGTCTTGTGACTCTTTCGTTGATCTACAAGCAGATAAAAGAAATCAACAAAATAATAAAACAAATTCTTCACTAATTTACTTATTTGTTCTTACCAGTGAAGATTTGTAAATAAATTTTGTAGCTAAAGAGCTCCGCTCCCGCCCACCTCAATTACTCTTTAGTGCTTGTTCAATGTTATTCTGCAAACTCTTTCAAAAGGAGAGACCCTTCGACACCTCGCAACAGTCTTTACTATTATTCGATTTCTAGGAATGATCTACAGCAAAGCCGTTCAACAAACCCGCAATATAACACAATTGTAAAGACTTTCGAAGAAAAATATCCACCTAAGAAAATTTCATTAACCACATGATAGCCTTGTTAATAAATATTTTATGATTCAAATAGTCTTATTTTTGAAAGATATATGTTTAATTTGATGTTTTACATGTAAATGTTATGTACAGTTTTCAATTATTGCATTATTATACTTGTGTTTTTGTACTGTTATTGTATTATGCAGGGCTTTCTTGGAAAGCAAATGCACTGGCCTCTAGTGGGACTGAATGAAACTACCCTGTTGAAAGAAATCATGAATAAATAAATTGGTCATCACCTTTTATTACAATGACGTATTACGTAATCCCAATATGATTTCTATCCGATATAGAATAGGATATTGGAATTGGTCTTGAGTATATATTATTTGACGATCTTTGCCATCATCATGTTTAACGTACTAACCTCATAGCAAGACTGGACTTCCGAACGGTGGCGAACATCTGCGCGTAGGCGTAGAGGATGAAGAGGAACGCGAAGAGGTTGAAGAGGACGAAGACCACCAGGGTGAACTCCCAGCCGTGGTCGAAGGGCCGGTCGAACTGGAGAGGGAGACAGACGCCGTTGCCACCGTAGAAGAACTCGCCGAAGTAGTTGCGGTGCAGGACGGGGAGGATGGCGATGAGCATGGCGGCCAACCAGAAGCCGACCATGAGGATGACGGCGTGGGCCAGGTGACGCTGACGGAACTTGAACGGGTGCACGATCGAGATGAACCGGTCAGACGTGATCACTGATTGGGAAACAGCATAATAGTCCGTCTTATATTTCAATCATAATTTATCAAATTATCTAAGATAAATTGGTATATACAGGTAGTTTATGTTAAGTACACACATTATAGTCAATGTTAAGTTTAGTTTATAATAATCAACCATATGACACATGGGGAGTGTTTCATAAAGACTAAGATCGGCTTTAAGTTGCACATATCTATGGCAGGCTGTTCATGCCACTAGTTGCTCTCACCATTATGATAATTATAGATAATATTTTTTCGTATAAAAAAATGTAAATTCTGTAGATTTTTTACCATGATTTGTTCTTCCCTTGTGAAACCAATGCCAGTAAATTATGAAAGAAAACAGTGGCATGAACGGCCTGCCCTAGTTAATTCCAACTTAAAGTCGATCTTAGTCTTTGTGAAACACTCCCCAGAACGGCAAGATATTGCGAAGGATGGACTTGAATACAGAAACCCTCGGTCTTGATAGAACCAGCTGGTTTTATCATCTGGAAACAACCGATTGGTGAAATGGAGTCTGCAGGTCACAGAGACTTTTCAAGTCCGCCTCTGTATCACAAAGTGCATAATAAATCTATAACTATATGTATTCCTTGAGTTTCATTATTTCCATTTAAATTGTTCTTCCCTTATCCACTTGGTGTCATTTAATTTGTGTCTGATTTATTTATGGATATAGAATATGGAAGAACAGCGTTCGGGTCGAGAAAATACCGATCTTGATTTTAAAACACAAACAATCAAACAAACCTGTTAATGTCAAGACAGACATTTCACTGGATAGAAGACTCAGTAGTCCACACATCTTACAGACCCAACCGCTTCGCCAATCTAAATCCTTGAAGATGTACTCGCCTCTGTGGAATTTAATATAATTATATCGAATATTATGATACCAGACAGAGTCTACAAGAACAGAAAAAGGTTTCTTTTTGAAAGCCCAGCGTATATCAAGCGGGGGCCTCTTTTTTCGTGAAGTATATAGAGGTACCGATCGATCCCATTTGGTATCCTTTCGCAACGAGGTGGTTTTAGGTTATAAACCCTTCTGCACTTCACAACACACGAAAGGCAGCAGCAATATTAAAACAAAACGATTAATAAGCTACCGGTGACTATGAAGGTGGTGGGTTTTTAATCAATCTCCCCTTCGCATAATTTACATACATGAATATGTATAAGGTTCGTATTAAACAATTCATTGTGACCTTCGGCACCCTTCGGCACCCTTCAGCACATATTGGACGAACATGTAGGCACGCCATGGTCATTGGCACCTCTTGACACCATCATTTTCAACGCTAGTGCTGCACCTTTAGGAATCTATTGGCTCTTTTTGCACCAACTAATTCCACCTCTTGACATCCATTTACACCTCCAAACCCATCAATTTGATCCTCTTGACACCAACTGGTACCTCTTGGTATCAATTTACACCGCTTGGCATCCAGTGGCACAAAAATAGAAAACTTTGATTTTCCCCGCTCTCAATAAAAGCCATATAATCGTGTTATGATGGTGAGTCTTGAATGAAGAGACTAAATCAATTTTTTTTCTTCTTCAGGTGAGACATGAGTTAGTCTACACATTCTGAATTCCAGACTCAAGATACCATTTTTCCAGTGAAAAGCGGGTGAGGGGGGGGGGGGGGGGGGGTGAGGGGTGATCCTTTATGGACGTCATACCTAAACATGACGTCATGCAGTCCGATGATGAGCAGATAGAGACCCATGAGGAAGTCTGCCACGGCCAGGTTCATGATGAAGAACGAATGGACCTTATTGTCCTCGCTGACGAAGCAGCGGGCAAAGATCACCATCAGGTTGCCAAAGCAACCGAGTAGGGCTACTAGCCAGACAGCACCCCGGAGCAACCAGTTGCCCAGAAGATCGTCGACGTTCGAGATGCCGTCCCCCTTGGGCAGGCAGACGCGGACGTTTGGCGCGTAGCCACACATGAAGAAGAAATCGAAATAGCTGTAGAAAAACAAAAACATTGTGAATTACTATAAAAAATGAGATGGAATGAAAGGGAGAAGTTAAAATGTAGAGTAAGGGGAGGGAAAGGGAGGGAGGGGAAAGGGAGGGAGGGGAAAGAAAGGGAGGGTGCGGAGGGAAAGGGAGGGAGGGAAGGAGGAGGAGAGAGAGAGAGAGAGAGAGAGAGGAAGGAGGAGGAGGAGAGAGGAAGAGAAGGAGAGAGAGAGAGAGAGAGAGAGAAAGAAAGAGAAGGTGACAAGTAGGGGGGGGGGGGTGGAGGTCAGAGAAGAAAGGGGGTTTGGTTGAGATTCAATAATTCATCAAATCATTCTTACATTTGTTTCGAAATAATTATGCTGTGTCAGAGTAATGAACAATAACAATTTCAATATCAGGTGTTTTACATTGCTATGGCAGCGAAGTTCTGAATAAATTACTAGGTTGGTTATGCATCGGGGAGCTTTCCGGCTTTGCATGACAGGTACTGTGTGATTGTTATGGTCAAGCGCTTCTGTACACATTGCTAGGTTGGTTGAGTATCAAGGACGCTCGGGCAAGGCATGGTGAATGCCACAACGGCCATTTTGTTTGAATGTATTTTGGCTGCAAGATTGGCAGGCGCGTAGCCAGAGTTTGATGTTTGGGGGGGCACATACATGTAATCGATCGAGGTAAAAAAAAGGGGTCTAAAAAATCCAATCGATCTTGGAAATTTAGGGGGGGCACGTGCCCCCCCGTGCCCCCCCGTGGCTACGCGCCTGAAGATTGGAGCAGGGTTTTACTGAGGAGCCTCTTACCGGAGGGTTGATAGCGTGCCTTTCCAGCCAAAGAAGAATCTCCCAAAATAGACCGTAGGCATGGTAAGTGACATTTTAGTTGTTTTTAAGCATGTTTATATCAACTGATTGTCTTGTTTTGTGTACAACAAACCTGATCTTGATTGAAAACATATTATCTAATTAAACTGAATATAAATTTTCATTTTTTGATATGCGGAGAGGGTCAAGCAACCTAGGCAGTAAAACATGGACATATCTGTGACATCCCGTCATTTTTAAGGTTCATTAAGTATTAATCTTTACTGCTGGATTACGCAGTAAAGGTCCAAAAGAACCATTTACTTTTTTATATAGCAAACGTACACAAACAATTACGAAGCATTATAGTGAGAGAATGTTTTATCTTACATGTTATTTAGATTCTTGAGTCGGGTGAAAAGCTCCCGAGGTACTTCTGTTAACTTATTCTTCTGTAAATCTCTGTTGAAAAGAAAGAGATAAGAAATACACAAATCCGTAAAGCGTGTTGTTGTGAACAGATACGAATAAAGAAAAAAACCGTTAGGGGGACTGGCGTAGTTCAGCATGGCATGAGCCCTTATTCAAGTGGTGATGGAATAGAAGAAATAGAGATAGATAGAGAGAGAGAGAGAGAGATAGATAGAGAGAGAGAGAGAGAGAAGAGACAAGAGACGGAAAAAAGAAACGTTAGAAGAAGACATTACGATTTCCCTCCAATACCTCCTCACTTGACAGCCTCGTCTAATCGCATTTCATTCATCGAATATTTTTGTTCTGACCGCCTTTATTCCACAGTGCCCCCTAGTGAAAACAAATATTTGTTGACCTGTGACTTCCATATATACTATCAATGCTGATGTTCGTGTTTTTTTTTTGGGGGGGGGGGGGAGGGGGGGGGGGTAGAGCCTATTCATTTTTTTTGCATTTCATCCATTTATTTATTATTCATTCATTTTATGTTTATCTCTTTATCCTTTTCCCCTTCTTTCTGATGGGGGGGGGGGGGGGGGGGGGGCTGGGGTTGATGGTCCGACAGGAACATACAAATGCGGTCTAACACCTCCGATAATAGTTTTCATTGCCACGATTGGTAAAACATGTACAAGAATGAACTTTGAAGGAAGATAAAAAAGATTCCGGTGTTAGAAATCATAAGCTGAATGCAGGAAAGAAATATTGGGAAACAAAACGATTTAAAAATCTCATTAGATATTGTTCAATTTATCTGTAGATGGAATTCAGTATTGATTTATGGCTGCATGGTATGTTATTGATACTCACAGTGATTCCAGCTTTATTAGATTATCGAAAGCATTCTCCTCGATGACTTTAATTTCATTTTCGAGCAAACTCCTGTAAAATTGGGAAGAAAAGAAGCGATTCATCATGGTTTTCTTGTAACTGTATAGCATGGCGAAGAATCGATCCCACCACAAACTATAAATACTATGTTCAATTGATGGCCACTCGGGATAGTAACATTCTAGAATTAGAAATGTTGACGTGCGAATTACATATTAGTGCTACATCAAAAGAAGCTTTTTCTTTTTCTTTTTCTATGGAAAAGTCAACTTCCGACCTTCAAAGTATGCCAAGATATATCAAATTAAAAGAATTTATATTATACATGTGTTGTTGTGAAAAGGTATCATTTTATCAAATAAAAATGATAGTTGAATATTCCTTTCCATTCTTCATGTTTGTATGTAAATTCTTTGAGAGGGAATTTTTTCTGAAATTAAAGGAGTAGGTTGAAATACAACATGATCGTAACTACTTTCGAAAAATCAACGCAGAGGCAATTTCTGTATCCTATATAAATCATGTTTGGATTACGTAATACTTCTTTGTAATGTAAGCACATTTCAAAAAGTGACGTAAAACACCATTGGAATTGTAGAACAAACTGTAAATGTCGTTACTATATTTATTGCACACATGAAACTGACAACTTGGATAATGTTTTCGAATCTGTTTTAGAAAAAATCTCTCAAGAAATAAGAGGGTTTCCGTGCCACCCTGACCCTGTGTTATATTTATAGTTATGCTCAACGATGTAATGTACATCTTATACTCACATGTCTGTCACGTTTCCTAAGCCATCGAACATTCCGACCTCAATGCGACTCAGTCGGTTCTTCATTAGTGTACTGCATAAATAAATGAAATTATCATCTATTGCATGAGAATATTGTATCCTTCATTTTGTAATAGATTGTATTAGACCTAAGGGGCATTGCAAGAAAGTTGCGAATGATTGCAAGTTGCAAAATTTGCAACTGATATTTGGATTCGATTGTATCTCAAATTTCTTGCAACGCCCCACTAATCTCCTAAATTTCCGAGGATTTTTTTAGGACTACAGTTTTTAAAATTAAAATATAGCTTTTATTCTACCCCATCTCTCTATTTCTCTCTCTCTCTCTCTCTCTCTCTTACTAATGGGGCGTATCAAGAAAAGTTGAGTTACGATCAATTGCAAATTTGCAATTAATCGCAAGACTTACGCTTGAATTTGGGGATTTGCACAATTGATTGCATCTTTCTTGCAACGCCCTTAAACTATCGACTGAAGCATCATGGAGTAATTATTAGTAAAGCTAATACATACGGGCGAAGGGGTCGTGGAACCCCTTTTGATCAGCAGTGAAAAAGAATATTAAAACAATGGGAACGTGAAAGGGACTTGGTTGTCTGCTTAGCAGATTACACAGTCTATCTCTATTCATATTGCTTACTAGTTTCAGTAAAGATAGTCAGAACATAAAATAATGCATACACGTAGTCATTTAGATATTACTGTTAACTGGAACAGGGGGACGGTTGAAAATAGGAAACGATGAATATATTTGATTATTTTTAATGTAATTCATGATTTTAAGAATCAGACCAGTCAGACGTAAAGAAAAGTAAAATAAAATTGTACGCCCTTGTTATCGAATACAAAAATAAAAACTTTCCTGACTAGCCCTTTAACAATATCATGATTACTGACATATTTCAAAATCGTCACTCTCTATCGTAATGTAGTTGAATCACTGAACCATAATTAACAAGAAACATTTCAAAACATTCTATACTTACAAATGTTGTACGTTCTCGATGAGTGCAAAAGAGCCTGGTTCGATAATAGCGATCTCATTCTCATCTAACTTTCTGTAAGGATTGAAACAAAACAAATTGTAAAATATTAGTTTCGTACGTACATACTGTTATAATCAATAATGCTATTATTTCCGTAATCAGATAAAACGTTTCAGTTTTAATGACTGTTCTTCCATGGGGTCATTGATTTACAAAAGAATGCTAAAAATTGATAAATATATTTCTTTATTACATTGGACATTCTGCACTCAGCGGTCGGAAATATGACACATCAAGAAACGAAACTACACCATCATTTAAAATCCGTTTACTCTAATGGATATGAACCATAATATATCTAAATTATTACAAGCCGCTTAAATGGGTTAGAAAATATTATATCCTGATATTTTAAATTCAATTCACTTTTTAAGTTTTATTTCCACAAATTTGAATAAGATAATACACAAACAAGCACATTTTATACAACCTTAGAAATGCAAGCAGACTAAAGTAAGGAAAAAGAAAATTGAACGCATTAACTATTTCTTTGCTAATAGTATCTTTACAACGCTTCAAACATTAATCTGTATCTTGGTGGATTAACGTAAGCTTCTCTGATTGTAACAGTTCAGTGTATATCAAAGGCAGGACAATCCTACTGAATATTAAGAAAGTAAACACATATCCCCCACCCATCCACAAAAAGGGTTATTCTATACTTACAAAATCTGCAGCTCGGGCATTACAGGAAATATCCCTACGGAAATATTCGTCAATTTGTTGTCATGTAGCAATCTGCCACAAAAATAACAAAAGGAGACGATGATATATGACTAGCATCTTAAATTTCATTAAAAATCAGACCACATGGAATACAGATTATTTTGAACTAGGGGCCTTGGCGAGTTTTAACAACTCTCCTTCTCACCTTTGCGTCTTAAATATAACGCCTTGATGGCGAGTTAAACAAATCTTATTCTCGCTGCACGTATAAACTTCTGTCGTGCAAGGACGATTCCTTCAAACTAAAATAACAGCTGTAGAGCCTTCTGAAGGAGGATGGCTTTAGTAAAGACCAATAATATTATTTGATGTTAGCGCTCTGAGCCTTATGGGAATGGCGCCCTAAATGTTCATTGCATTGTATTGTATTGTATATCGACCATACAATGAAAATGATATCTAAATACAAATTGGTATTACAATCACAGTCGAATTGAATATATTTTTTTCGCATATAAAACACTGATTTACTTTGTAGACGGGATTTGTCAAATCGGATGAACGCGGTAAAGGATTTGATGTAGCTTTTATGTGGAATGATTACTTAAAGTTAATTAATGATATAAAAACAAAACAAGAAAAGGCCCGAGAAATGTTTTTTTAAATTGATCATGAATATTTCATATTTCCCACGCTGATCCATGGAAGGTATATTGTCGGGGTAATATTTAAAAGATTCCTTTAAGAATGAGACAATTGAATGAAATTAAAAATGAAAATAGAGTGGCAGAAAGATAAGCCATACTTTTAGGAAATCCTAAATGTAATCCGACACGGAAATTAATGAAAATCATCCACTTCTGCAGAAACTCACAGTTTCAGAAGATTATCCATGCCGTCAAATGTACCATGCTCGATATTAGAGATGTGGTTGCTCGATAGATATCTGTAGATAGGAAAAAAGAAACACACTCTAAATGATTAAGTCTATTCCATTATTCTGGTTGAAAAACAAGTAAAACAATATGACGTAATTTATGTCTTGGCAAAGGACATTCGTGCCGGGCCAGGATTCGAACACTCAACCCTTGGATTTTGAGTGAAGTGATAGAACCACTTTACCCTAGACACCTCAATAACACCTCATAGTTCATGTCATACTAATTAAAAGGCATAATAATGGAGATGTTTAATTTTTAGTACAATAAGCACCCGTGTTAGGACAAACCGGACAATTATCCTATGATATATAAGTAACCGGACAACTAAAAACTAGGACGATTTGCCCGGTCTGCTACCCCCAGGTCAATCAATTATTATTAAACCCCTCATTGGCTCTGGGAAGTCACCCCCCCCCCCCCGGTAAAAAAAAAACACACACCCGACCACCCCTTTTAGAGTGTAGTCATTCAGGTAATAGACCGGCTCTCTCCGGTCCTAGAATTTATCATTATTATTGATACTGTTATTACTTTTATTTTATCAACGCTTGTTTTTAATATACTCAAAACACTGAGTTTCGACATGTGTATACCGTTAAGACAAGCCAAATATCACATTCATTTGGAAGTTTACTGCAATATGTGAACTGTGATCAACCCCAAAATCTTACAGATCACTATTAAAACACATGACTAAACTGGATACTTACAAGTCTTGCAGTCTCTCCAATCCATTCATATGTGACGGTATGATTTCTGTGATTGCGTTGTAAGAAAGTTGACTGAAACAGAAAAAATAAGATGAGGTCTCGAATTACACATCATGAAGCCGCTGCATCTTTCCAAAAAAATTAATGATGATAATGATGATGATGATAAGGTCGAAGGATTGATAATTTCAGTTAAAAGTAACCATTATTCTCTCATGTAATCCACCACGTCATAAAACGATAAATAAAGGTGATTAAAAACGGGTCAATTCAGTACCTCAGAATCAAGTAAAATATTAAATTTGCTCCAACACAACCTGTAGAAGACACCGCATAATTATTACAAGAACATCCAAATCACAAGTTGCATATTCATGAAATGAATGATGATGATGATAATAATACAAATAATAATAATGATAATAGTAACAATGATAATAAATATATAGTAATAATGATAATAATAACGATGATGATGATAATAATAATAATACTAATAATAAAAATATAAACAATATATAATAAATATTTATTGTAACAACAATGATAAATAGTTATAATAACGACAATAAAAGTATCAATACAAATGGGGGGGGGGGGAGGGGGGGGGGCAGTAAGATTGATTATGATACATAAACCTTGCGATGGCTGGGTTGGGGTGAATGTATTCTGTGTCTGGTAGAATCCATTTTTCATGAATGGGGTATCATTTTGGGAGAGATCGTTAATTCAAGAATTATCTTAGCTATTGGTGGACTTACAGCACGGAGAGGCTATGAAGATTGCTGAACAAGTCCGGAGTGAGCTCGGTGATCCCACACGCCACCAACTCCCTGTAATATAGGAAATATATACGTATATTGTTGTATTAAAAAAACTTATTTTGTAACAAAAGATTTTGTTTCATTGAATATTGAGAGAAAGTGGAGAGAGAGAGAAATCGAGAGAGAGAGAGAGAGAGAGAGAGAGAAAGAGAGAGAGAAAAGGAGAGAAAGAGAGAGAGAGAGAGAGAGAGAGGGGGGGGGGGAGTAAGTAAATAGATGGACTTGGATAACAAGAACAGGAAGAGAAAAAAGAGGGATGAAATGATTGATGGACTGATAGAAATATAGGTATGTAGGGTTAAAGAGACAGAAAGGCAACATACATGAACAGACATAGAGAGAGGGGGGGGGGGGGGGGGGGGGAGGGAGATCGGTTGGGGAGGGGGTAAACAGAAACAGATAAAGCAAGGTAAGTATGGAGGAAGATGAGACGAAGTGGACTCGACTCTGCATGTGGCTGGTTCATAGAAAGATATACTCTTGTCTGTTTCAGATTCAGCTGCCCTTTGAGGGGAGCGAACACTGGATACCACCGGGGCCCGGGAGGCGTGAATCAAGTCCGAGGAGCCCTAAACAAGCAGCTAGCTGGTTATCCACTAACCCTAGGGTGGGTATTGTATTTATTTACCACACTCATACGCTGGAAAAGGGGGGAAATGATAGACGAATCTGATGTTTGTTTTGAAAATCGATCTTTGTCGGATGATTGGGGAAGTAAAAACGAAGATGCATATTACCTGTTGAGTCCTTGAGCCGCGTAATGAACCAACAAAATGACCTTCAAGGAAAGTCAAAATGAGCAAGCAGTATTCCTTACAACGACAAGGACTACTCTTCATGAACTCTTGCAATATGACTCGTGTTTCTGGAGGTTGTAGTATTGGCTTTATCCTTTATGATTCATCCTCATGCATCTGCCATTAAATCCTGAATATGAAACCTCAGTTTCGAAGGCTCTGCCTTTGTCTGAGGTAGATGATACTTTATTTTACTTTGCATACGCCGGGGCAAAGGCCTCTGTTTTAAAACACCTTTCAAGGCCTGCACAAGATAGTTAAGGGCTCATTAGGCATGTGAGGCAAGCTCAAGAGCTTGGTGATTTCATACAAAGTATTTTCTTTTCCAAGGAAAGGTGGTGTATCTACTCGCCTCTCTTTTTACATAGCTTTTGGCGTGGGCATTTTGATATTGTGTTAGAGAAAGAACCAATCGGCCGTATCGCAAATTAACATCCAAATAAGAAAAACAGTACTGCTATAGAAATGAAGATTGTTATTGTAGTCATTTATATTTTATACACTTCCGAGAATACCCAAAGAACGCGAGAAACAACCAAAGAAACCCTCAGCTAATGCCCGTTGGAATTGGAACACGAAATTGCTTAAATAAATAAATAAATAAATGGCAAACATGTCTTCTAAATTTACAAAAGACAATAAAAAAGGAAAAGAAAAGAAAATGCTTACAGTTCTCTAAGGCTGACCAGATTCCGGAAGCAGTCACCACCCTCACACCGGAAGTGATTCCGCGATAGTCGACTGAGAAGAAATAAAATGGAGAGAGAGAGAGAGGAGAGGGGTTGATGTTGGGGGAGTTTTCAAAATGTTGTTATAATGGTTATGCAGAACTCAAAATTGTAGGCAAACCAAGCACCCACATATTGTAAAGGCTTATTATAGCACGGTGTATCAAATGCACTGAACCCTCTAGCCAATTAAATTCATGTCTATCAATGATATTTCGGGTGTCATTTTATCATTTTCTTTTATCAATTAATTTTCACTTATGTCAGAGTAAAAGAAAAAAATGGAGCTGTACCGAAAAAGGGGGTGGGGGGGGGGGGGGGTGTCGAGTCCTTTAGACTCAGTACGGCATATTTCATAATCATGTTAATTGTGCTCTTTTGATAATGTTTTCAAAACAATGGACTAAAACAAAAATCAGTTTCATTGATATAAATCAGACTCCCAGAGCCTAGAAACAGGAACAATATGTAAAACTCATTATATTACGAAACATTATGAATAATTCAGAATATAATTCCGTAGATGTAGCACACAAAAAGATTGTATATCATGTTGTTACATTATTGATTAGCAATCGTCTCGATAATTATGTCAATACTTACAGAAGAGTAAGTTTTTGGAGGTTGTCGAAGTGCGCCGCTGTAATGATCTCGATTAGATTATCCGATAGATCCCTAGAATTAAAACAAAATAAACATAAAATGAGAAGATAAAAGTGCCACTGAAAATGCTTTTCGCAAATACATTATTCCGCCTTGTAGAAAGTTCAATATCAGTCTATACTACTGGTGGTATGGTAACATATGCATGGCTGGGGTTGGTTTATTGTAAACTAAAGCTCCCAAGATCTTTTTCAAGAATAATATATAATTCATACAGTAATTGCAAGCGGACTTCCTGATAAGCGACAAATTTAAATTTCAGCGGACGTGGAGAACCTCATAACAGAATGCATTTTTTTTTTGGGGGGGGGGGGGGGGTAATCCTCAGGCGTCCGCTGGTGGCATTTTCACTGTTTTGAAACTCTTTCATGTCTTATGCTCTGTGTTGTCATTTCTATTTTGTTTATACATGTACCAGTAAATTAAAACAATTAAGGAAATAACAAAATAAAATAAATAAAATTAGGAAAAAAATCTTCCATACGACTTTCACATCTAACAAAGATAGTAATATATACGAAATTTCGAGAATGACCTGTGTTAGAGTTTATGTGGATAGAGAGCACGGTAGTGTAGAAAGAGATGAATAACGGGGAAATATATATACTTACAGCATTTCCAGGCTCGTCGTGTCGTAGAAGACATCTTCGTCCATTGTTTGCATTTGATTGTGGGTGATCACCCTGTATAGTGATGTAGAGAGGGAGAGGTAGTGAGAGAGAGAGAGAGAGAGAGAGAGAGAGAGAAAGAGAGCGAGAGAGAGAGAGAGAGAGAGAGAGGGAGAGAGAAAAAGGGAGGGAGGGTAAGAGAAATAAACAAAAAGAAAGATTGAAAATAGAGTTAGTAACAAAACATATAGAGGTTCAGAGTGTGGGTAAAAGAAAAAAGAAATATGAAAAATTAAGAGAGAGAGAGAGAGAGAGAGAGAGAGAGAGAATCACGTCAAAATTTGACGCAGTACTTTCTTTTATAGTGTGAAATAGAAAAAAAAGCTGATGAACTGATAAGATTAACAAAGAAGGCAGCTGGGAGATCCTCATAATGAGCATAAGTTGAATTATGTAGACTGATAAGTGGAATGATTTGTTTTAATGTTCTATCGATCACTCCGAATCATTCTTATTCTCGGTTAACGTGATTGTGTCGGGAATACCTACGGTTATTGGTATTATTCATTACTTATAGCCTTGACGATACGCTTGGGACAGGATGTTGTGAACTTGGTGACTTAGTGAAAGTTAATTGTGTTGATCTTCTACATATTCGGGTTTGAAATCAACGAACTTGTAGGAAGCCGAGGAGTAGAAGGTGGAAGAGGAGGAGGAGAAGGAGAAGAAGGAGGAGAAGGAGGGGGAAATGAGGAGGAGGAAAAGAAGAAGGAGGAAAGGAGGAGGAGAAGGAGGAGGAGGAGGGAGGAGGAGGAGAAGAAGGAGAAGAAGTAGGGAAATGAGGAGGAAGATGAAGGAATGGAGGACGATGAGGAGGAGGAGGAGGAGGGAAATAAGGAGGAAGAGGAGAAGGGGAAAGAGGAGGAAAACGTGGAGGAGGAGGAGGAGGAGGAATAAGGTGAAGCTTCAGATAAACTAACTTCCTTATACATAAACAGAGAAAAAGAGAGATAGATAGAGATAGATAGAGAGAAAGAGGGTAGGGTTGAGAGAAAGAAGAATGAGAAAGAGACACAGGCAGGCAGACAGACAGCCAGAGAAAGACACAGAGAGATAGATAGAGAAGGGGGCAGGTATACAGACATACAGACAGACAAACAAACATACAAAGACATGGGTATATAGGATGCAGGGGTAATAGTTTTTGATTGGCATCATCGCCCTCATGGGATGAACACATTACGTGCCCTACTCAATCTCGGTTAATAAAAAGCGCCAATATTGTTTAAAAGCGGATGCCTTGGGACTGTAATGTTTGTGATTCACCGACGTGGTCTGATTTCAAATTCATATCACCCTTCAGCTAGTGTGATGCTTCAAGAAAAATAAGTTTATGTTTTAAGGCGGGAAAATTCCGAGGAGAGGAAATTAGGAAAGGCATAAAACGTGCTTGCATAGCGGCATGCGTAGACGTGTAAATTGGAATACCTGTCAGTGCAACGCACAAACTATTATAGCATTGACGAAAGAAGTTATGGAAAGTGAAAACATGATCTTTCATTAATATTTTCACTGCGAGCTTTGATTCTTTTGATTTAATCATGAAAGAGTCGTAATCACAATTAAAACATTTAAGTAACGGTCGTTGAGTGATTCAGACACTTGATCTTCAATGTACAGGTTGAAGAGTTCGAATCCGCGCCCAATACGTAATAATATTTAATAATATTTAGTTTTTATATAGCGCTTAATACAAATGTCTCTAAGCGCTTTATAAATATACTATTACCCCGGTCATTGGATTGAGTGCTTACCCGCACACACTGTGTGCACCATCTCTACTCCCTGGGGAGCATTCCAGCCAGGCGTTACTTGACGCTCAAAAACTGTTTGACCAACAATGACGGCCGCATCCAACCGGGTACCCATTTAACACCTGGGCGGAGAGTAGCAAGTGCAGGTTAATATCTTGCCAAAGGACATTAGTGCCGTGTCTAGATAGTTCCATCTTAAAACGATTTGCCTCTCTCAATCCAGGTGAAGCAAGTGGGCAACGGCTAAGAAATAATACCCGAATTTGTTTTTTTCAGGCAGTTCCAACAGCGCTTTTTATTCCAACATTTAATACTTACGGCTTATCTGCCGTTAATGTTAGCCTGCTATAAACGGGTTTTTATATTGGAAAACCTTGAGCGCCAGTGGGTGGCAGATTTCAGCAGTGTACAAGAATCACTGAGAATTATTATTGCCTTTCACGTGACACATGATATAAATGCATTATAGCCTCAAGTTGCAAGTCTTGATATTTAATTCCATAATCATTCAATCATTTGATACTGCACCATGTTTTTCATGAAATGCAAATTGAACAGCTCGACCACATGACTACAAAATGAAAGTATGATGGATGAGTCTTTTCTTTGAGAGAACATTCACGCCGCAGCATTACGAATCTTCAATAATTATATGCATTATGCAGCTGGTTATATTCATTTCGGCATTCTTTGAAAAGGATTTATTGTACTTCATCATTAAGTCATAAGTCCTAATTCGACTTTGTATGTCGATTGTGATACAGACCACATGTAAATCAGAGCATTTAATTTGTTCATCTACATGTATATTGACATGTACGAGGTCTACTGAATGATTCCCCATCAAGAACGGGGGTTGGTGAGGGAGGGGGGGGGGGGGAACCAGACGTACTTCCAATTGGAAACCCTTTATAGTAAAGAGTCCGGTGGCAGTTGCTCCGGGCTTCATTCCTCAAACATAACAAAGACCCGTATTTTACTCAAATCTAAGCCCACCCCTGGGTATCATTTTCAATTAAAAAAAAAAAAATCTTAAATCGGATTTAAACGCAAAAGTGTAAGTTTAAGTTTTCTTTTGTTAAACATGATCTGGTCTGCAGGGTCGGTTTTTCACTGAATTAGTACAACACGGTCCGTAGTGTTTGAGTAGCGTTGCAATTATCGGGTGTTAGCTTAGGTTTAGGTGTAGGGTGAGGTACAGTGTTTGATCCAGGGTTTTATTCAGGAATTTCGTTAGTGCAGGAGCATGGCATGTGGGTTCCAAAACCATGATCAGCCCTTTAAATTTTTCATTTTTGCGACATTGTGCCCACCCCCTTTAACACAATTCTGGATCCGCCCCCTGGAAGTTTTACTTTGAAATATTGCAAAAGGAATGTGGCTGGCATCCTTTCTTCTTGCTATAATCTTTCCAAAGCAGTATTAACATGCATTATAGATCTGAATTACAGATCAGGATTATAGACCAATAGTATAAGAGCAGGATTGCGCGGGGTGTTATTTGCCTGTTGGATTTGGGATGTATGACTTCCAGCGTGTTAAAGAGTGAAGGAGGTAAAGAGTTAGAGATGAAAGAGTAGGATGAAATGATTTTGTTCCATCTTTTAAACTTTAAATGTCAAGTACTCGTGTTTATGTCTTCGCCAAATCTTCTCCATGAGCAGAAATGCTCACAGGGAAGGCTTTAGGAAGTAACATCTTCTTTTAGAATGAGATCACCGCGACTCCCCACTCAAAGCTCAGCACGAACACCATGAAATTACTAACATGATACATTGACAAACTTTATCACCCATCGCTGTCGGATATTAATGATTAAAGATTCCTAATAATCATTGCACAGCACCAAGCTCGAGTATCACACAACATGTTCAAAAATGCGTAATGCGATATGGTTGCGCGTGGCCGTTGAGCGTGTGTTTTGGCGGGAAGGGCATGCATGCATCCATGAGAGCCCAGGATCCAAATAATGCTCTTGGTCTACAATGACTTTCGTGCAATGACCCCAAAGGCATCCACTTTCGCGGGAGAAAATTATGTGTTACATGATATGAAACGTCCTCGAATAAGACATCGTGTTTTGAAGAAGCAGCGGCATGACTGAATAAAGCTCGACTCAAGCTTCATATCAAGCAGGTACATTATAAGGGCGAAGTTGATACCAGGTACTTGATATTATAAATGAACATGATGAACATGCAGTGTTGAGGCTACAGGAGCCACGTTCCCCCCATCGTAAAGTTGAAAATGATGAGAAAAAAGAGGGAAAAGGAAAGGAAGAAGGTGATGAGGACGAGAACAGAAGACGCCTAGACTACATCTCGTTCCCCCTCCTAGTTATATGTAGTAGCCTTGTAAATTTGCATTTTACTTTCCGAGTAAGACCCATGCGCCCTCCCCAAATCGTGCAAGTGCCCCCTAAAATGAGCAATTACACGCTACGCCGCTGTGAACATACACCCACATGTTGATTCCTTGTTTACAAGAAGGACATATCAGAGATATGAGGAGTGTTGTTGGTAAATTATTCAGTATAGTGCTATCATTATGAGTGGGACTAAAAGAGGCAAGAAGGGATCGAAAACCTCTCATCTTCTTATCCCTCCAATCACGTGACTATGAGCCGGAGGCTATCTTGATATGAGGACACTACTGACATCCGTACATCCGCTCATCTTGTTCATGAGGGTTTACAGCCGACGCAAACGACAAATAAACTGATTTGCTGGTAGCTAAGAATAGAGCAAGGAAAGAAAGAGAAAGTCAACTAAGTATTTTCTTCGGTGATGGCGTGGTGGGAGGAAATGGATGCCTGGGAGGATATTCTATTTTTCAAGAACTCTTTCTGGAAGTGATTAAAAGAATTGCGTAAACCCAAAGGGAGGATGTTGCTTTTTGAAATTTACTCGTTAAAATCCCTGAAAGAAATTGCGGTATATGCAGGGCTGTTCGATGATCATTTCACTCCCTGTCCTTGGAAGGATTACCCCTTTCAAAATTAATTTCTGTTTAAGTTATTGTCAACCACCCATCGTTAACACAACACAGCCCCCAAACGTCTCTTTTTACCATAACCCAAAATAACGCATTCGCAATCATCATCACCTCCTCCGTCGCAGTGATAACCTCCACCACCACCATTGCAACCATTGTCACCACTATTGCCATCACCACCGCCACTACCACCACCAAGATAATCACCATCAACACTGGCTCCACCACCAGAATAACAATCACCACCACCATTAACCTAATCACCATCACCACCACCAGCACCAAGATAATCCTCGCCATCTTCACCACCACAATCACATTCACCACCCATCACCACAATCATCATCACTTTCATCCGAAACTTTCATCATCACTTTCATCCAAATCTTAACTACAACCACCATTACCACCACCACAATCGACTTCACCTCCACTTGAATCATCATCGCTACCAAAATCATCATAACTTCTATCACCATCGACATCTCCACAACCACCATCACCATCACCACACACCACCACTACCATAACAATCATCGGCACGACAATCACAATCGTTACAACCATCACCATCATTTCAATCGTCACCATCATCACCACAATCATCATCGCTTACTACCATTTCAACCATCGCCTCAATCACCATCACCATCACCACTACCATCACTACTACCATCACCACTACCATCACTACTACCATCACTACTACCACCACAATCCCCATCACCACTACCATCACAACGTCATCATCACTACCATTCGTAAGCATTGCCATCATCATGATCATAATGATGATGCACTTTCCTTTCAGAAATGTGATGCTATCATCCATATATCATTTGTTATCAGGTTGCACTTACAATTCTCGAAGCATGGTCAGATTCTTGAAGCTGTCGTCATGGAGATGCGTGATGCGATTATCCGACAAATCCCTGCATCAAAGAAGCATGTATAACTTTACATATTTACCATCTTAAAGATTTGTGTGATCTTCTGTTAATAACGGGTGTAGAGTAATGGTCCATAATTCTGAATAATTCTCTTCAAAATCACAGAAGATGGTGATACCAGATTTTGTATCATGTAATCTACTTTGATTTTCCTTCTGCGCTATGGTATCTAGTATTTGACACGGGCACATGCAGTTACAAATAAAAAACGATTCATTGAAATTAATAGACATGAATATAAATTATGATTTGAATATATAAATGATTATGGTCGCTGGATATCTGTATTTGTGTGGGAAAAGTTGAGTGCTTGTGATGTGATTTATCGCTCATTCTAATTAACCAGCAAATTATAGCTTTGAAACGTCTTTTGAAGAATAGAAATTGAAAGATTTTCTCCTCCTTCCCACCCACGATTTGATACCCTCATATCGAACAAAAGAAGAAAAGAAATTTGCATCTCGCGTCTATGTGTCAAATTACTAAACAGATAAGAAAAGGAAACACATTCAAGCCCTCTAACGTTGATCTTCAAACCCACACAAACGACCGTCGAACTAAATTGGTAATGTAGACGTCTCTTAACATCTACTTCATCATGAATTCCAAGTACTTTTCGTCTCAAATTCGATGAGATATTTTCTACTAATAGCTGAAAGACAGACCTGTTTGAATGTTGGTCGAAATCGACTACATTTCATCTTCATAACTTAACCAGTAACCTTCAATGTAAACTTGAGATTTGGAGCAGATTGTTGGGAAAATATCCAACATTTTAAAAAGAAGCTTGTATGAAAGATAAAACATGAGCAATGATACTTACAAATATAAAGTATCGGCTGGAAGCGCCTCGGGGACTCTGTCCAGTTGTTTTGATGTGCATGCTATTTCCAGCCCCATTGGTTCGCCTGATTCCCCAAAAAGTGGATCGGCAAAAGCGCTGGGGTACACGTCTTGTAGCGATTCATAGTAGTCGAAATTAACCATCGGGTCCTCGTGTAGGAGAACACATCGGCATACATCCGGGTATGTCCCCGCATCTGAGGAAACAAATAAGTCTTGTTTTTAGATAATGAGTAACAGCTAAACATGATTATCTACATATATATTCAGCTAGAAGTCTTTAGCAGGCCGTTTTCAAAAATGTATTGGCTAATGCCTTAAATTCAACACTTTTGAAATGATATATTCCGGAAATTCTGCCCTAAAATATAAAACGACCCTTTCAGAAGAATCGAACGAAACACAAAATACTAAAGGAATTCTACTGAATTGCCTGTTTTATAAGATCGAGAAATCATATATGAAAAAGATAGCAATCGCCTTCACAATCTCCATTGACTTTTTTAACCTTCCGATTAACCATGCGATAGCATTTTTGGGGTCTTTCCAAATATAATAACCTTATGTGCGAGTGGCGTACGAGTTGACTCCCCTCTTACAAATATATATTTGTGAGGGAAAAAAATGATGTATTATATTCCTTTTTCTTTTTTAAAACAGAAGGGGGGGCTGAAGTGGCCTTTGGATACGCCCCTGTACTTACCACACGCTGGAGGTATGAAGTCTTCTTCCTCAGATGAGTCGTCCTGCTTGCCCTGGTCCTTGAAGGTATATATACGTCTGTTTATATCATCAACTGTTATAGATACAAAATAATATGACATTGTTTAAAATCAATGTTTTTAAGATTTTCAGGTGATTTTAATAGTTATCATATTGACTTTCTCGTGTATTAACGAAAATTAAAGGCATGAGTTAAAACGAGCACACCTAAAGCATTTCAGCATTTTGTAGTAAAAAGTAGTAACATGAATTCATGTAGTATCACAAATACCTGGTAGGAATTTATTCCTTGAAACGCAGCGCGCGTGACAGCTGCACTGCTAAAGCCGTGGTAATTATGCTGCATTATTGTAGAGCGCTTAGAGACTTCTGATAAAGTAAGTGTTAGGCGCTATATAAGCATTATAGGTATTATTAAATACGACAATAAATCATTTATAGATATGAGAACAAGGGAACAATGTTCGCTTCCACTATTCTCCAACGTATCGTCTATTATATATTTGTGCAATAGACAAAATGTTTTCTTATGCATTTGGCATGTAGGGATTCAGTTACACGAGGTAATGTATCGTATATTTTCCTATTTTTTTTTGTACGTGGGCTTCTCGCAAAAAAACCCGCCTTGTCGCAAAAAAATAAAACCATACAGCTTTGCTCTTCATAAAGTTCATGCACCGTGTTTTGGTGTACCTATATTGTCCGTGATTTATGGGAAAAGAGCATCAAAATAAATACGTTTAGATTAATCAACCTTCTGATTATGGAAATTCCATTCATTTGTTTGTTAGATATTACTCCAAAATCTCTAAAAATAAGAAAGTTTTGACTCTAGCAAGTACACGTTTCATTTATCTAAAACAGAATGTCGCCATTTTCATACCACATTCATATGTTCCATCTTTTTACAGGAGACGTTCCTGATATTACCCGAATGGCTATTTAAAAAATAATACTTTCTCAGTAAAAAAAAAAAAAAGCTAAAACTTATCTAGGCCTGTTAGTAGAGCCAGTGGAATTTCGTTTTGAACTATCGTTTCTACCTGGAGCAACCCCGTAATACTCCCTAATAAAGAATAAAAAGAAAAGAAAAAAAAAGAAAACTTGGGTAATATTTCCGCTTGTGGACTTTGATTGATAGCTAACAGAGAAAAAGGCTTAGATACTGTAAAGCGGAAATGATAAGTTCATGATCTATTTGAGGTTAATCAGGTTTTAAAGCTCCTCGTATTCTCTTCATCCATCACGTCTGTGTACATGAAAATAAGGGTCGGGAAACTGAAACCAAACGTCATCTGCAATATCTTGCGCACGCAAAAATATCGACTCCGGAATCCAGGGCGGTCTCTATTATCATAACCAATCTGGAACCGATACTGTGTCTTAGGTTCGATTGCGTATCTGTCGCTAAAGCGACCGGTGATTCTCCTGACCTTAATAATCGTGTTTTTTGGGGTCTCTTGTGAGTCTATCCATTCCTTCTCTCTCTCTCTTTTTTCCCTCGGTCAATCGTCCTTCCCCTTACTTTACATCCCTCTCTCTTTATTTTTGGCTCTGTCATGTTTTTCTTGCATACAAACGAACACACAAACCCACCCTAATATACATCCACAACCCCACACACACGCACTTGTACGCACACATACACACGTACCCCACACACTCATTATATATCTTTGTCTACTGCCGCTGTATTTACACCTTACCATTATTTTTAACTATACAGGTGAGAACTGTTGAAGACATGTTTGTTTTCTAATATACTTTAATTTTGATAAAATTTCTTTTAATTTCTGTGTGTATTAATATGTTGCGCATTTTTGAATAACTGTTCCCAATACTCAACCTTCTATTCCAACTACCTATCTATACATCTCTCATGTTTCTCTCTTTTCCTCTCTTTCTCTCTCTCTCTCTCTCTCTTCCTCCCTCTCTCTCTCTCTCTCTCTTTAATTCTCTTGTCGAACTCTTGCATATACATTCCCTCCTGCATAATTCCCTCTCTTTCTCTCTCTCTCTTTTTCTTTCCCGTTCCCCTCTCCCCTCTCCCCCTTTCTCCCCTCTCCCCTCTCCCCTTTCTCCCCCTTTCCCTCCCTTTCCCTCATCCTTCTGTCTTGCATGTCTTCTGTTCATTCACTCAGCTTCGCACCGAGAAATTTTTAAGCCCGTACGATGAGACTTGCCGAATAATAGCCGAACAGGTCGCCCCGTTTAGATTTAGATATCAGTGCTGAAAATCAACACCCTTCCCTACGTCACCACATAACATTCTCCATAATTCTCGATGTAAGTTAAGACATCGTGATATGAAAACCATTTCGCTTACCCCTACCCTCCGACATTGTGAGGCTGCGATGTCCTATTAAATTATGATAAAATAAATTTCAATCATAGTCTATATCCTAACGACATGGCTACCCCTTCGCAAAAAAAGTCTCTACAGTTTCTTTGATCTTCCGTAAATCATTTCTAACATTGTTATGTATCTGTTTATATCTATTTGAAACAAAACCTCAAGTTTTGTTTGCAATGAAGAAATAACTACAATAATAAAAAAGCAACTAAATGACTGTACATGATAACTAGTGCCTTTTTGGAATAATAATTTAACTCTGGAGCCTTATCATGGCGGCTGAGCTACAGCCGAGGTATTATGCTATGACATTTGTATCAACCGCAGTATAATATATTCATATAAATGATGTATTATCATTATCATACCATTAAATGCATTACATATTTGTTGTGTTTTCTGATATTGTTGCAACATATCCAATAAGCGACAGGCCTCTTTTTATAATATATTTATTCTTGTTACACGTTCAGACTTCATCAAGCCGTAAAAACAATTCGCTTCCCTATATCTTCCGCTTTTGTGACGTAGCGACGTCCAATTAATTTAGGATGAAATAAATTTCAGACATACCCTTGTAATACGTTCATAATGATGTGGCTAAGTCTTTGCAAAGAATCATAGAACTACATTTACATTAATAGTATACCACTATAAAACACGATTAAGAATATCTTCTGGAATTATTTGGATGATGGATTAACGTTTCCTTTGTAGTTTGCGAGATTGTTTCAATGCTCCACTTTCTCTAACAAACAAACATACAAAAAGAAGGATATTAAAAGGTAAGAGGGAAACAAACAAAATAACAGAATGCGAAAAGGCAAAGATAATGGAAGTAGATGTCGGTATTAATTTCGTATTCATCAATAAACAAGAGTGGGCGGAAAGCCGCGGAATGTTTCTTTCAAGCGGCACACCAAAGTCAATTCCATGCATAAATTACACGCTTCTGTCACTACTATTATTCCCAACAATTTTACATGACTTCATGACTTTGTTTTCTGCGTTTTCCACCTCCCACTCGCCATGTCACAGTGATGGGATGCGGTCTCGCTCTCCCTCCCCGCACTCAACTATGAAAAGACTGGACACCACACATGTGAACTACTACTGGGTTATGGCAGAAGTTTATTTGCTTCTTACAAAATGCTAAAGCAGGCCAATAATATAATTTTCTGCATGTTGCTTTTACACAATGATGAATGAATATAAATGTATCCCAAAATAGCAACGAAAACAGCTGTATTAAAACTTTTCGTCTTGCCCTCATCGGAGTTAATCATAAGAATGAACAGAAAGCTGAAATCAGACAATATACATTTGTAAGCGGAAGCTAAAGGATCATATAAATATATATATATTTTATAAATGCATGCTTTCTTCGGCTTAAACCACTGAGCTGTACACATCATTTTGTCATTTCTAGATGCCAAAGTGAGCTTTCAACAAAACGAAAAACAATAAATGGACTTTGCGAGGTATTCGCTGGATTTCATGCAACGTACCATTATTATGGCTATCTGCCTTCATCGTGGATTCTTGTTTAAATTGAATGAAATTGGAGTTCTGCGTTTGGACCCGCATTCTAGGAACATTAGACCAAATAATAGTAATAGCCTTCGCTTGCTTGACCTCGAAATGCAATCTTGGCCTGCGCAATATACGATGACATGCCGGTAACCATGATATGAGAATGAATATTAATAAAGTAAACACTGATCAAAGTGGATCGGTTTAGAACAGACAGAGAGAGAGAGAGAGAGAGAGAGAGAGAGAGAGAGGAATTACCTCTACATAAAACGCAAGCAAGTCATACTTCGAACACATTGCGTTAGTGTCTGTTTATTTTTCTCAATGAGTTTGAAATATTATCGAAATAGAACAAGAAAGATATTGTCATTAAAACATTCATTGTGAGATTGAGATTGTGTTATGAAAAAAAGAGAAAGAGATCGAAATACGGACTGTCATGCGGGTACGCAGGGGGGGGGGGGGGTGTTTTGGGGGTTAACCCCCCTCAAGTTGTTCTTTAAAAAAAAGAATGAATACCCCCCGGCCCTACTGACAGAAATATCGGTTGGCGCGATTTCATATTTTTTCAAACACCCTCCTTGAAAAAATCCTGCGTACGCCACTGCGGACTGTAAAGCCCGAATTCACAAGGAGGTTTGTCGACAAACCTAGGTTTATGTGCGTCATATGACGCGTTTTTACAAACCTAGTCATATGCCGCACATAAAACTAGGTTTGTCGACAAACCTCCTTTGTGAATTCGGGCATAAGAGTCCATACGGCTCAGTGAAAAAACATTGTTTTGTTTTGTTTATCAGAACATTATGCGACCGTCAATTCATGTATTCAATAAACGCCGCCAAAATAATTATGTTACAATGCTTTGCAATAATCAACATGTAGAATATCTTTTTAATGGCAACTCTTAATATAGTAATTTGATGAAAAATTCTTCGGGGACAAGGAATCGTCCCATTTTGACATAAGTTTTATCCATCGGTTTGATCACAGACACGCCGTGTTAGTATAGCTTGGCATAGTCACGTGATCACGCCCCGTAAATCGGTCAAACACGCCCATATTTGCCCGCTATCCCCGCTGATTTCTAGAGGTAAAAATCATTATAGGTGGCTATCCCACCCGCGAATTCATCCCATGCTATACCCAATATTAGGGGAAGTATCTTGATTCTGTATATTGGGGGGGGGGGGGGGGGGGGGTGGAGGGGCCACGATTACAAAAATATCTCTTGGATGCAAAAATGACCAGAAGGGTGCCGCGACTTTCTCTTTTTAGGAGAGATAGATAACGTAGATAGAGATATACAGAGAAAGAGAGAGGGAGAGAGAGAGAGAGAGAGAAGGAGAGGGAGAGGGAAAGGGAGAGGGAGAGAGATAGAACATGAAATAAAGAAAGAGATAGATAGATAGATGGATAGATACAGATATATGAGATAGACGGGGAGAGATTGAGAGAGAGAGAGGGGAAGGGAGGATGGGAATGAGAGAGGAGAGGGAGGAAGAGGGAGGAAGAGGGAGAGAGGGAGGGAGAGACAGAAACAAAGAGAGAGAGAGAGAGAGAGAGAGGAGGGGGGGGGGGAGGGGGATTTGTTGGGGAGATTCTTGGACCCAAAGATAGGTCTGCACTAAAATAAATCTGGAAAACAAATTTGTCTTTAGAAATAGAATTTTAAAGAAGCCATGAAAACACTTTTTTCGAATTTCTAAAAAAGGGTTTTTAAAAACTTTGGAACCCTTTCATCATATTTGAATACATTCATATTATGTACATTATGTTCGTATACTTTATCTATTCTTCATCTATGGAGGGGGGGGGGGGGAAGGAAATCTTGTTCTCTTTTTGTGTGTGTGTGCAGGAGTAGAGTTACATCATAGATTTAGTGTCTTGGTTATTCTTCAAGATCCAGGTTTTTATTTAAATGGAGAGCTTTCCCATAACCTTCTTCCTCATCCTTTCATCTATATCCGTAAATAAATCACTTCCAAGTCTCAAGAGAGCAAAATCGAAGAGATGTTGTTGTTGAACGGAGACTGGATAACGTCTTTCTAAAATCGGCGATCCCAAACTTAAACTACGGCCTAAATACATCGCAACGGCGTTCAATTTTCGGTCGATCTTACTCTGGTTTTTATAGGAAGCGCTCTTAACAGTCACTCGAAAGCGGACTCTTTAATCGCGCATCTTTTAATCACTGGGCGAGTCATTCGATCCTCTGGCTAACTTACGTTTGCGTTTTGAAGGGTCGATTTTTATCCCCCGCTCTCTCTCTCTTCTTCTCCCTCTCTCCGTAATACTTTTTCTCTCTCATCCTCTCTACCCCTCCCTTCCTCTCTCTCTCTATCCCACCCTCTCTGTCTGTCTGTTTCTCCTTTTCTCCCCACACACACACACACTCTCTCTCTCTCTCTCCCTTCCACCCTTTCTCTCTCTCTTGCTATCTCTCTCTATTTCTCTTCCTATCTCCCCCTCTTTTTTCTTTCTCTCTCTCACTCTTTCTCCCCCTCTCCCCTCTCTCTCTGTCTCTCTCTGTCTGTCTGTCTCTCTCTGTGTCTCTGTGTCTCTTTCTCTCTGTGTATCTTTCTCTCTGTGTCTCTCTATGTGTCTCTCTCTTTCTCCCTCTCCCTGCACGCGCCGCGACCTAAATTCCAGGAGTCGAATAACCGAAATTAATGCAAAGAGAACATAGTGAATGACGCGAAGGTGCTCAAGAATTGACATCATTTTAAAAGGAGAAATTAAGAGATTGGTAAACTATACTTCCACGTTCCCTTAGTACATCAAGAAATAAACTCTGAAGCCCATGGCAGAAGATTATTTTATGCAGTCATTTTGTGTATGTACAGTGTAGTTGACAAATTTATTCGAATAGAAGCAACAACTTGGCGCTGTAGAACTGTATTAATAAATATATTTACCGACACCTTTAAGTTGACTTTAACACATTGACATATAATCATTGCCAACATTATCTTTATCAAAATTCTGAACCGAATAAATTCAATCTGAGCATCATGTAACCGAAATTAAACCGGAGTAAGGGTTAAAAGTGGGCTAGTACACGGATAATGTTTTAATATCTACTCTAGATAAGAGGCTGGTGTGTAGTGGTGTCGTGTTCTTGTGGATAAGTGGATAGACCATGTGGTGCGGGGTTCAAATACCGGGCGCTCCACTAACGTCCTTTGGCGAGGCACTTATCTACCATACATTTTTATAATTCGTATACAAAACTGTATTCCTCGTGAATTGTGCAGCTTCATTGTATGAGAGAGAGAGAGAGAGAGAGGGAGAGAGAGAGAGAGAGAGAGGGAGAGAGAGAGAGAGAGAGAGAGAGGAGAGAGAGACAGAGAGACAGAGACGATACAACTTACTCGTCGCATTCTTGATTCTGCCTCCATGTATTACATAACATGTACACTAATGTGGGTCTACAGTTGCAATCAGTGATAAATTTCGTGGAAAGAGAACGCTGCTTATCATTAACATGAACGCAATATATATAGTTTACTGGCACTAAACGGAAGAAAATAGTGATAAGGAGTGAGAGGGAAAGAGAGAGAGAGAGAGAGAGAGAGAGAGAGAGAGAGAGAGAGATAGAGAGATAGAGAGATAGAGAGAGAGATAGAGAGATAGATAGAGAGAGAGAACGAGAGAGAGCCATGCAGATATACATTGAACTATACAACGAAGTGGGGAACTAGAGGAAGCAACAAAAAAACACCTGCAACTTACTGCATTCTTCATCGGACTCGTCCATCTTGTTGTCGCAGTCGAATATGCCATTGCAGATCGCTTCTTGAGGGACACACTGTGTGGAGTTGATACATGGAAACCATTCACCACAGTGAGCATGAGGGTCGCTTGTCATCGGAGACTGACGACGATAGCGGATGAGGGAAGGGGCATCGTCGAGATCGTCGCCTAGGATGCAAAAGTGGAAAAAACGATCATGGTTGTTAGAGTAAAAAGGCAGGAGAGAGGCCGGGGGAAGTGAGAGAAGAAGATAGAGAGAGAGAGGGGGGAAGGGTTTGAAGATAGGGAGAGAAAAAAATGGGGTGATGGTAAAATATAGAGAGAAAAGAGAAAGAGAGAGAGAGAGAGAGAGAGAGAGAGAGGGGAAGGGTTTAAAGATAGGGAGGGAAAAATGGGAGAGATGGTAAAATATAGAGAGAAAGAGAAAGGGGGGAGAGAGAGAGAGAGAGAGAGAGAGAGAGAGAGGGGGGAGAGGGAGGGGAAGGGCACATATTGGGGTGGGTACTGGAAGCCTTATGATGAGTTGGGTAAATTATTGTATGTACACAAATGGGCCTAAAATATAATCATTGACATCAACTGTTGCATAACCGTTTATGAGTGTATTAAGAAGAAATGAATGTGGTAATAGAAGATTGAAAAGACGAGGAGAGAGAGAGAGAGAGGGAAAAAGAGACAAAGAGGGAGAGAAAGAATGATATATAGAGAGGGAGAGAAAGAATGATATAGAGAGAGAGAGAGAGAGAGAGGGGGGGGGGGGAGAAGCAAAAGACAGGAGTGGTGTGAATACAGAGCAGTGTAGGTGTGTGTAATGAGATCATACACAAAACACAAAACCACTGCACTTAATGAAATTGAGTCATCATTAGACACAAAGTGGAACCACTCATCCGAACAAGGTATATATAAAAAACAACCTCGTAACCACATGTTACAAATTCAATAAACCATCCCCCTGGTATCTAATATCAGGAAATATCAAATTATGCGACATGCCATCACCGTTGTTTTCATCACGTAACCTCTGTTGACAGGGTAGTCATTGCACGATTTACAATAAAGCGAGCTCTCTTTAGTCACCTGTACGCGCGATCCAGCTCTGTCAACAAAACGCGACCCGAATCAGAGCGCAGCTATATGCTCTATCCAAGATTTATGAACACCAGCCTTTGACCATAACGGACAGCAAAGAAGGGCATCATTAATAACTCTTATGAGGAAGAAAATCACGATAAATATGGTTCTCTGGTGTATTACACTCCAACGTTCCATACTCATCTTTTTGTTACATAATTAAGTTCAACCTCATATACTGAGCCCCCTCCCCCTAAATAGCACAGATTGTTTCGTCATGTTCGTATTGTTTCATTATACTTAGACCTCAAGGTGATGTTCTTGCGATATATCAAAATCGAAAATTTACGGTAATGAGAATTAAATATATCAAATGGGTGAAGCTAATAGCATCGCAATAACTAAAAGCTTTTAGTAAGTCAGTTAAAACCAGTGACAAGAAGTTTTTGCAATAGGCACATAATCTTGAAACAATGACACTTTCATTATAATAATTGTCCCACTATTTCTTATTGTTCACTGAAACGGATTTTTTTCATGACGGACATAATCAAGAAAAGAAAAGCACTAGCGTTTGCTCTAAATTTCAGTGTAATCCATCACTTTTAGTCATCATAAAGAAGGTCCTTCATATTTTGCAAAGCCTCATAGGAAATTATTCCTTAACAAAAGAAATCTCATTAACAAAACACGTTGCCATCGCTGTAATTTATTTTCGCTATTCACAAATACAATTCAAAGTAATATGATCACCTTGCAAGGGGAGAAGGAAGGAAGATAAAAGAAAACGCGAAGGCGTAAGAACAAAAAAAAAAACACACGAAAAGATGAAGGTGATAATTGTGTAACAAAACTACTATATTAAACAAAACATGCATGGAAGCGCGGGGGAAGCATATTAGGTCCACTATAATGTATAATCTTTCTGCTGTGCCGCTCAGTTGTAAGAATAGAGAGAACAAGTGTAAAATGTAGCATAACTAGTCATGCTAGGGAGATTTATTAAAGCTTTAGGGGATCAAGTAAATGCATATCTTCCTCGTTGAACTTATTATACAGATGGAAAATGGTGTTAGGGGAACAATTGAGTGGGTTGAAATTGAGCCAATTTACACGTGAGATAAGTAGAAAGACATATGATGGTATATATATCAACACGTTATACTGGATAGGTAATACGAACGATAATTTACACAAGTTCGCATTGGAGTTCCATGAATCTTTTCAAAGGTATGGTGAAAATATTATAAATGAAAAATAGTCACGGTGCTTTTTGATACATTTTTTTTCTTTTATTAAAAGCGCAATGGCAAAGGGAAATACTACCTCAATTCTACAAAGTTCATGTAATGTTTATATTGAGCTCGTATGTATATTGTTTGATTTTTTTGTTGTTTATTCGTGGGTTTTAATGTGATGTGTGCAACAAATTAAAAGCTTCATTATTTAATTATTATTATTATTATTATTATTATTATTATTATTATTATTATTATTATTTTGTTGTTGGGGGGGGGGGGCGGTAAAAAAAAATCTCAATAATTCTATATAACCAGTTTGATACTACAAAATAAATTTGTATTGCTTCATGAATACACATTTAATTGTTTATATTAAAGTATATTGTTTGCGTTAATTTCAACACGCCAAATGTAAAACCTTTGTCTGTAAGTTCCAATTACTCCATAAATTAAAAGTGAAAACTAAGTTTTTACAAACGAATTCTAATTTTGTAAAGGTAGATTTTTTAAACAAGTCGCCTTTATTTTTTTCTAGCAGCGGAGTTTGAGGGCTTGGGTGTTAATTCATACTTGAATATACCTATTTAAAAAACCCACACTAAATGCTTAAGTACTGTTTTTTCAATAACGTGCTACTATTACAAATATAATGTGTAAGTAAATTAGATTTAGCACCTTATAAAACAGGCTTTTGTTTCTCATGACAGGAACGTTTCAGCATGTTAATGGTATGGTTGTAATAGGAAATTTGTTAGTAGGCAAGACAGCAGTTATTTGTAAGTTTACATAACAAGTTCATGCCTAGTTCATGTAATAATTTTCCATAGCTTATACAATTATTGCCTGCACCAGTTTTGACCTAATTCAGTTCATTGAAATTCTGTGGCGCCATACGAGCGGCCATCTTAAAGCAGGGGAAATAAAATTAATGTTATTATTATCATTAATTCCATTTCTTTAACTTAATACTCCAGCCATATATTTTGTAAATGATAGTTATTTGTTTATGTTCATTTGTACGTGTAAATGTTTTTTATTTTCGGGAAATGAAACCAATAATATTTAACACAATAAGACCGTCGGTCAAATTTGCACTTTCTTCTTTATCTGAACTCTTCGTATTAATCATCCCCAATAGCTTCTCCAAGTAATCATCCACCAATATGTTTTTTGTTATTTTAGTGGCTTTATGAAATAAGGGATCATAGCGAAAACCATCCCCCAGCGAATAAATCCCATTTTTCCTCATACTTATACTGTAAGATAAAGTTGCAAGATCATGACATAGTATACGGTCGAGCTCGCTTTCCCCGCAGCTCACCCGAACCTCACCTCACCTCTTTCCTACATCAACACGTGGTAAAGCCACTTGAGGTGTTCCTAGCTGCCGAAAGCTTTTTGGCTTTGTAAACAATGAATTGGATTTCACCCAATTACTTCGACGTTCGTTCGCGCCAAAAAACCAAAACATCAACATTTTCGCGCGCCCCGGGATCACAAACGTTTCAATTTTGCACTCCTGTTTAGCTCACCTTTCGTGTGTTTGTAGTCTTTATGGAACCGGAGACGAGTCGCCCGATCATCGTTGGTGTGAATTGAGCATGGTATGAATTAGTGAAAACGCATTAAAAGAAGGCGTTTCTACAGGGGATTTGTTACATTCTCCTTGAGTGCACTTGGTTTTATGTTTGTCGAATTATGTGTTTGAATAAGCAAGGTTGTGTCCAGATTTTTTTTCTCCCCAGGACACACGCGGAAGGAAACATGGAACTATAATATGTCGTCCAAGAAGACCGGTATGGAGAGATTTACAAATTTAAAGTTCGATTAAGTAAGGACAAGATTTTTTCCACAAAGCATCAGCAGTTCTTATTCTGAAACATCAATCCCTTATGTTGAACAAAAATCAGTCATATAAACTGGTACCTGTGAGATATAGTTCTGCGTAGAAATTTAATATTCATATTCGAAAGACTAATTTCCTTCCTTGTTTACCAAGTTGAATCATGACTTGTGAACGTTTGTGTTAAGTGATGTCACCGTAACGCTAAAAACCCCAAAATATTGCACCCCATCTATCATACTAATTCTTCTTCGACGAATTAAAACCCGGATTCATGTTGTCAAAGCAAAATGACGGACAACCACGTTTAGGGATGACATTCAATTGCTTGAATGCAAATTCTTGCTTCATTTTTTCAATTTAATGGAGTAGGGCGTAATTGAATCGGTAAAAAAATCTCTTATGGACACACCCTGTTTGGCCTTTCGCACTCTCCTAAAACCTCTCTGGATACTTCAAGCACTGTACGTGTAAGACATGATCTGTTTGTTAGAGCGATCTGTTTGATGACAGACATTATCTTGTCACGTTTACCTGTTTCAGAGAATGAGGGCGAGAAATAGTCCTTGAAGAAAGAGAGCCCTGATGATGGAATAAAAGGAGAAACCTCCTTCGGCAAGGCAGGCGTCCCATTTTTAATGGGCAGGGACGATAAGAATTTTAACTATTATTGTGTCATGATAGTCATAATTATGGATGTGTATGGATTGTGTTTTTTTTCTTCATGATTTAACTGAACAAAATGTCTCTATATTAGTGCATCCACACAAAAAACATATCATTATCGATATAACTTGGATGCTGTCACAGACTCATGAGTGAGTTGCCAATTTGTCTTGTGATTTTCAAAGTTGTTTATGTTGTTAAACATTCATAACTTTCTTATTAGTTATCCGATTTTGCTCAAACTTTTTGTGATTGGTTAGTCTGATTTTGTTGCTTCTATTGAAAGTAAGTTATTTTTGGAGTGGACTGTCTTGCTCTTTATGCTATAATTTTAAACGAACACGATAGCAGTAACTTTAGAAGAAATCGACATGAGGAAAATGTAATAAGCTTGCACATCTCCTATCAAAATGTGCGAACATGACCCGTAATCAAAACATGATTTCTATCAGACATACCACAGGGAACTAAAATTGCCCTTGAGTTGATTCAACGAAAATATTTGCGATCGTGTTGAAGAGAATTGCAAAAACCCCCACATATATTTAAAAGAAATACAAAGGTCACGTCGTATCAAAATTTAATACGTTTTTAAAGTTTTGCCAATTCAATCGAAATCAATTCCGAGTCATGAAAACGATAGCTTATGGTACTACGTAAATGAATTGTTCACTGCAAGATGTTGGGGGTATAGAAGCGTCCACAATTTTGAATACATCTACGAACTGATCTTTTTATATTGTGTTAAAGGTAAAGACCAGTAATGGTCATGCGATTGCATTGTGAAAGAAACGTTGTGGAATCGATCCGAAAAGGTTGATCATCTAGCATCTAGCATCTGCAAGGTTCTGGAATCATCAAAATGATAAGAAATTTGGCCCATTCTTCGTAAAGTTACAAACACTATACACAGAAAGATGTATATGGGACTACCCTATATCTCTCACAGACCATGAGAGAAACAAATTTACCAAATATATGAATTAGTAGGCGGTTTCCCGGCAAATTTTTTATCATCATGTATTAGTCAAAACATATTCTTTCACATGATTGGTAATGAGAGCTTCCATTTCATTTTTTGAAATTGGGGCGTTTCCAAAACTGGTCTTTACCTTTAACCAACACCAGCTTTAAACCAAATATCTAAATACTGTACCTCTTCTTATGGTTTACAATTTCAACTGGGAGAAACATGTATACATTTTAATCAACAAACGGTTTGTTCTCTCTCAATGTAATGGTACGTATTACCATATTGTTCAACTCAATTTCAACTCAATTTATTTTGGTCAGCAAACAGTTTGTCCTCTCTCAATGTATATTGGTCAGGGGCGTACGCAGGGGGGGGGGGGGGGGTTGGGGGGTTCAAACCCCCCTTTGGTATTTTAATGTGTGTAAACCCCCCTTAAAAAAACTGAAACCCCTCCCTTTGTTTTTTTGTTTTTTTTAATTAAAAAAAAATAAAATAAAAATAAAATTATGCCCACGGCTATAAACGTAAAGTGACCTTACCCCCCCCCCCAACGAAAAAAAATGTCAAATTTTAAATTTCGAGACCAAAAAAAAATTAAAAAAATGTGTGCTTACCCCCCCCCCCCCCCCCCCCCCCCCCACCCCCCCCACTGAGCGACTTTTCAAATTTTCGGGAGCAAAATATTTTGGGCCAGATTTTAAACCCCCCCCCCTTGAAAAAATCCTGCGTACGCCCCTGATATTGGTACCTATTACCGTATTGTTCAACTCAATTTCAGAGGGAACACCAGGTTGAAATTATAGTAGAATATTGGCAATATATTTCATGGATGCTTATGTATATACCATTCTTACCTTTCGTAGCATTAGAAACCTGTGGAGTACCGAAGAAACTCGACACAACCACCATCAGCACTGCCCAATTCATGATAAACAGAGCGGAATTATTCACCACAGGCACACCACAGTTGCTGCCAGTGTTGCTGCCACTTCTGTTGTCGGTGCTGCCACCATCAGCGTTAATAAAAGTCTAGGTAAGTTACGACACTTCTACAATTTATTTTTGCAACAATAGCCACGGTTGATGTTGTCGATGGTCAGTTGCTGGTTATGGTCGTTGAAAGTTGAGAGCTCGTGTTGTGTAGCATTAGTTGACGGTTGGAGTATGTTGCTCCGATGTTGTAGGGATGAATATATCTCTATATATTTTATGTGATGTCTCTCGGGTTTGATCCTTGTTATCAAAGAATGTAGCGATCCTAGAAGATAGAAATGATAAAAGAAAAGCATCATAACGTCAATCTGAGAAATCTGATTTGAAATAGACTAATCGTACTTCATTTCATCAAAACACCAACGTAAGGGTATCAAACTTAGAGAGGACAAATAACAATCGGTCCTCGGTTTGCTTACTTACAAGCATACACATAATTTCTTAGCAGTAGGGAAAAACCAACCATCATACCAAACCCACTCGATAAGATATTTTAGGCCTAATTTCGATCAGCAAAGTCATAAACATGAAACATTGAAAAGCAAGTTATTTTGACGTAGTAATAATGGAGATGATCTTCCGTTATACACAAATTGTATCAGCGAGTTTTTGAACAGCGCTCATACCTGTCACACTTGACACAGTATTATCAAAATAATTACCCAGCACGGCTCTCTATCGTTTCAACCTACATGTATTGCCTACACTGGATCCGGGTAGGCCCTCTATTAAATCGATGGGAATAAAAAAAATAGTAGTCAACGCCTTTCTTTAAAAAAAACAGAGGAGAATCCTAGATCTGCCCTTGACCGCCAGAACACTATTTTAAAACAGGAGACTGTCTTCTTCTACGAATCTAGGGAACAAATTAGAGGACATGTTTATGTTGTTTCTGTCGAGGTCAATAAACGCGAAATATTCTGGTTGTAAGTTTCTTGTTTTAATAGTATAAACAAGTGGCAAGGAAAACAGCTACAAATAAACAGGGGAGATAATTTATTACGTCTCCAGATCGATGAGAAGTTAGAGTCCAAGAAAATACAAAATGTATCTAATATGCAACGAGAGAACAAACCACACAAACGTGTTTGTGTTTTAATGCCCTCTTCGTTGTCATGGTCATCAAGAAAACTGATGCGTTTTTCAAGATGACAAAACAAGAATGTTCTTGAGCATTTACCGGTCCCCCTACTCCAATCTCACAAATGCGAGAGAGAGATAGAGAGAGAGAGAGAGAGGGGGGGGGGGGGAATAAATATACACTTATGATTCCTGGATGAGTGACATGAGAATAGTATAGAATAAAATTGAGATGCCTTAGAAGTCGTAATTGCTACATCATCAACCATCTTGCTTGTAAAATAATTTTGTTGCCAAATGGGTTTTATTCATTATTCAGACAGGAAAGAGCACAGACAATTTTCTTACAAAATAAAGGTAAAAATTTGCATTGACGTATAGCCTCTTTGATCGGACAATAATACATTTTCTGCAGCCATTACTCGCATTCTGGCTTAATTTTTCTATTTCCAGTTTGGTGCTCAGTTGTAATGGATTTTAAATCGCCACTAGATCTATTGTCGACATCCCGCAACCTTCATTGAACCTGGTGACTTACTGACTTATCATTATAGGCTTAATATAGAAACCACTCGGTTCCTTTAAAATGTTAAAATGGGCGGTGGAAGTCGATTTTTACTCTTTTTTGCCTATATGGATCCCACCTGTGGTCCACTGAATACAAGTGTTCTTTTACAAAATTGATTCACGTAAAATGTTGAAAACGGTGATTAAAATAGAAAGTAAGTTTATCACTAGTCTTTATTCTCAAATTCCTGTATGTCATTAACTTCTGTTTCGGCTGCGGATTCAAATCAAATGATTTAGTTTTAGAACACATCCTTCAAAATAAAAAGCATTTTCTTATCTATAGTGTGATATTTTTATTATAATAACTTGTTTTCTGATTTTTTAAATATTTCACGAAAACACACAAATCCTTTTGAAAAAGAAACATTGTTTGCTTGACTGCGATGCTAAATCAACACGCGTCATAAGTTATTATCTGGCTGATATCAGATCACATGTAATCCGCTCAGATTCCTCTTTCACTTTTTTCTCTCGTTTTTCTATTTTGTTTTGCCTTTTTCTTTTGAACTTTAAAACACAATGAGCCATAAAACTGAGACAAAAATGCATGTAAATGGACATCAGCAACAGAGAGCCACATCTGCAGCGTGGGCGACTGAAAAACAAATGAGTATAGTGGAAGAGATAAATCTGTTCAAAATAGTTGGCTCATGGAGATGATGTCAAATGAAATAGTAAATGGGTGGATGAAAATGAACAGTGAAGAAAAAAAAACGGAAATCGAAGTAGTGAAAGAGGGGAAAGAGAGGTATGACGTAGTGGATTTGCGTAAGAGTGACAGAGAGAGAGAGAGAGAGAGAGAGAGAGAGAGAGAGAGAGAGTGCGTGAGAGAGAGAGAGAGAGAGAGAGAGAGAGAGAAAAGCAAGCGACGGGGGCAATATGGAGGGTGAGTGTGAGAGGAAGAGGGATGGAAAGAGGGAGATAGACAGAGAGAGAGAGAGAGAGAGAGAGATAAAGAGATAATATTTTTTCTCGCCATGACGAAGATTCATCCCTTTCGCAATTTTGTATTGTTGCCACCGCAACGCAATGATTATCATCTTAATAATGTTGTGTTATTGTTCTTTGATCTGAAATAAATGACATTTAGATTGTAAAAAATCACAATACAGGAGCAGATTATCTGTTTCTATACAGCCCCATGCTATTCAGCAACCACATTCGCCTCCATTTCGATTGTATATCATTTTCGCTTGCAACTTTGGTCATTCCACTTTTTTAATCACGTGACTTACACAGCCTATAATCTGCTCGGGTCACCGCTTTTTCCAACCTTCATTATCAATTATTTTCCTTACTAATTACATTTTGTTTTCCAAAGTAATTTACCCGCTTAAATGATATATGTCACAGAGAGTTGAACTCACCGTTGAAGTCCTTTCTCTTCTTTGAGTTTATTCACTTTAGTGGCGGATTTGGGGGAGGGGGGGGGGGGGGGGTGGCACACGCAAGGCTCGTGCCCTTTTAAAACCCAAATGACATACCTTCAGTACACGAGTCCGCGCCCCTCCCTTTCAGGTGATTTCGTGCGTGTCAGAAATTTATTTACTAAATAGGACCTAAAAAAGTCCCGATAATATCTATTTTTGTCACAGATTTATTTACTTACAAGGACTGGAAAATCCCGATGATCTTTTTTTTTTTTTTTTACTGCTCATCATCAAACTTTAAAAATGCCGTGCTTCCTTTAGCTATCTAATCCCGTCGTCATGTTTGCCATTACGGTACAGTTAAAAACTAAACTATCCATACCCTTTCCAAGTTTTCTCATTTTTAAAGTATGTGAAAAAAAATTTTTAATTTTTTTTTATTCTTTCGATTTATGTTTCTTGAGAGTGAGAAATGTTAAAGCTCACATCTAAAATATTCAACAAAAGCCCTTATATAACCAGTCCACCTTTCATTCTTTAGTTACAAAAAACACAAACACATCAAATTTACAAGGGGTTATTAATAATCTAGTTTTAACCTGTGTATTGACATATTACATTTGATATGAACATGTAGGTAATATCATTATCTAAAATGTTAACATTTACCGTAAGATAAGAAAAACATAATTTATCATAATCATTTGCCTCTCATCACTCTTTTCAAGCATTGTATTTACGAAGTTTATGATTTTTAATCTTCTTTCTATTTTTCGGGGGGGGGGGTGCGTTCTCAAATTCAAAGAAAATAATTCAAAATTAAATTTCGGATGCTATCTGGTAAACACTATGATATTATATGGCAAATAATTTATCTTTTCATGTAAATGTCAAGACATTGTTCCTTTATTCTTCCTTTATTTAAATCCTTCCTATGCTCTGTAATACAATTCGTCCTTGTTTTCACGAAGTGACGGTAGTGAGGAAAATCGTAACGCAAAGTGAATGCAATTTTTTTCACTACCGTCACTTCGTGAAAACAGCGACGAATTAGGAAAAACAGAACGCATAATATCATTTAAACTCAACCGTTTTGAATTCCATAAGAAAAAATGGTATCTGTATAGTATAATTGAAATCTTACTGAATGTTATTTTATGAGATGTTCCATTTCATTCAATCATGTCTCTGTATCGTTGAAGAAAAAAAAAAGTATTTATTTTGAGATTATCTTTTGTGACAATGTGAATTGCAAATAAAAAAAATAAAAAAAACATTCGGATGCTCTAAAAAATGTCAAGCCCCTATGCACAAGTAAAGACAATAATATAACATGTTCGATATTAATCTCAACTTCTTTTGCACAAAAAGCTTATTTTATTGTAGCCGTAATTGAAATGATGGAGTTAATGTTCCATTCATCAATCCATCCATTACATTATCAGAGGCAAACAGAAACAGGTAATGAGGATGTGCCTTAGAAAATCACGTACGTGTACTTCAAAGGACCATGTTGGCACTCATTTATAATACTTCAAAGTGATACAGGAAATTAATTTTTATGATGATAAGGGTCATTGCGTTGTAAAAACCGTTTACAGCACGCCCCAGTAGTGCTTTATGGGAAAGCCCCTTTCGGCGATCATTTCAATTATTACCGTTTCACCGTAAAAAATGAATGACTGTTTCCAGGTAAAAGGTATTATAATCTAAAAATGTCCCGAGCGCTTTTTGGAAATGAATCTGCACTTGAAAATAGTACGTGCAATATTGCAATGGCTCAAACAAACTAACAGACTGACAGACTGACAGACAGACTGACAGACATGCTTCAAACAAACAAACAAATTATTGGATGAAGAAGGAAATAAAGAAATAATCTATAACAAAACAACAAACCATAAATGAACAAACAAATAAATAAATGAATAAATAATCAACAATTACA